GTCTTGTTGCTGAAGCTTGATGGCTGATGGCGTTGGCGGTGGCGGTGGCGGCGGCGGCTGGCTGATTTGTGCTCTGTGCTCTGTGCTCTTTGCTCTGTGCTCGGTGCTCGGTGCTCATGTTGGTTCTGTGTTGGATCTGATGTTGGTTGTGGTCCCCCTGACCGTTGTTTTTGTTGTTGTCTGGCTGGAGCATGTCGTCGTCTTCCTCGGATACGTCGTCTTGTACAGCGTGGCGATGAGTTCCTCATCGCTCAGCGTCGCTTGGGCTGATGGCGCGGCTCGCAGCAGGCGAAGGCGTCGACTGACGAGGCCTCCTTCTGCCGCGGCCTGGATGACCGACGGCCGCGCCTCGGAGGACGCGGCCACTCGTCGGTTGGTTTCGCTTGCGGAACGGCTGGAAAAACGCAGAATCGCACGCTCTCACGATTCTGAAACTGTCGCCAGCTTCAACTTGCAATAAGATTGGTCATGACGGACACAGAAGAAGACGAATGGATTGTGGTCATAGAATACTCAAGTGAACGTGGCTTCCTCGAGGCACGTGTCTGCGTTGCCAATCCCACCCGGGTACGTTTCGCCCATGGCCTGGAGGAGGCTGCTCGCCGCGTCGTCTTGCGTCACGTCCCAAGCAAAGACACCGCGGAGGTTCATGCACGCGGAGAACTTGGCTTTGGCCGCGATGGACGTCGGGTTGTCGTACGTGATCTTGCGGGCGCCCTTGACGAGCTGCGGCGTGAACGACGCCTCGTTCATGGAGGAGGCCCACGAGCTCTCGAGCAGCTTGATTTCGCGGTAAGTCATGGCCGTCTTGCCTTCGTAGCCGTAAAACGGCACGCCAACAACGAGCTTATTGGCAGGGACACCGGCATCGAGCCAGTTGGCCACCGCTGACTGGACGCTGCTGTCGTCGCCCATCAACGCAGCGTTCGGGCGGCCATCGTTGCTGTACACGTTGTCGTAGAGCATGAGGTTGACAAAATCGAGGCTCTCCTTGATGATTGGCGTCATCTGGTCGAGCGAGAGCCTGCCGGGGATCGCGGCCGACACAACTTTGTCGGCGCCGAGCGCCTGGCGCACTTGCTGCGCGAGGACGCGGTAGTTGTGGAAGTCGCTGTCGCTGTCGGGAAATTCCCAATCAATGTCGACGCCTTCGAGGTTGTACTGGTTCACAAGCGCGTGCACGGCTTGGACAAACGTGTTGCATAGTTGGGGTAGTAGACACCGACGACATGCGACGCCGCGCGCGCTTGCGGAAGGGCATCAATGGCGAAAAGGGCGAGTGCGAGCAAGGCAAGGTACGATTTCATCGCTGTGAGGTGGACGAGGGAAATGCGATACTAAACGTTAGGGAGGCAGCTGATTCGCATTGCACTCACATCAAAGATCCTTTTCGAAGAACGTGCATGCGAGCACCAGCTGGTCCCCATGCACACAACAGCTTGTTGACGCCACGATGTATTATAGGGAGATGCGGTACCATGGCAGAGTCGCAGGCTAGTGCGCGTGACTTGCACGTCGCTTTCGTAGAGCAGTCGTATTTAGAACACATTTGATTTGGATATTGTAGTGGAGCAAAATGACGTGGCGCCCCCCACGTGGGCGCCCCCTGCGCTCTCGGATGGCCCATTCGGAGACACACAAGATCGCGCAAGGGGCGATTTGACCCTGCCACTGACGTTGGCCTCTACTACACGGCTATGCTGCAGGTGCTGTTGGAAAGCAGTCTCTTCTTTTGACGAGCGCCGACAACGTCGTGCATCGAGTCCGGCTCGGTGGGCGACGCAGCTGCAACACGACAGAAAAAGGACCAGCGATAACATTCTCAAATGATTTGCTTTCGTACGTGCTAGTCTTTCCATGTGTACGATAGAACCAAGGGCATGAGATTGAAAGGTGGAGCATCAAGTATTATACCACACAGAGGTACAGTACAGTGACGCAGCCTGAGTTGCTTGTGTACCTTTTAACCAATCACTTGAATGCTTTTGATCATAAACCCATGGATTACGATGCATTTCGTCCAGTAGCCGCCATCAAGTACATAAGAAGGCACTTGGATTGGCTAAAATTCGCCAGATATCATCGTCGATCTGGTTTTATTTTATTGCTTACAAATATGTACCATGGTAGAGCCCAGTCCATTTTAATATCGATGTCAAGGTCGTGGCCAATCACATGTGCCGACTCAGTTTGCATCACGAGCAAGTCAGCCGACTGAGGCAAAATGCCGCGCGCCGTGGACCCGCTCATTTCTGCGTGCGAGGACATTCTCAAGCACCACCGGGTGCCGTCCTTCTACGTCTGCACGGGAATCCAAGGCATTTCGCTGCGCCCAGCGGTGCGCGTCCAGGGCCTCAGAGACCTTCTAGCGCTACCGCTCTCACCGTCGCAGCACCTGCAGCTCCGCGCGCGCTACGGCAAGGCCCGCATCGTGCCAGCCTCCAAGGTCACGATCGAGAACCAAGACGCTTTTGTGACCGCTCTCGTCGACTCGGTCGTCGGCAAGATTGAGTCGGTGCTCGGAATACAAACAACCGACGTCGGTGCCGTCTTGTCGCACCTGTGCATCGACACAAGTGGGGGGGCCAGCATGCTCCACGCTTTGCAGGGCTGCGTCAATAATGCGTTTGGGACCTTGATCGTGCTGCTGCCATCGGGCCACAGCGGCGGTGTCCTTACGTTCCAGCACAAGGACAGGTCGATGACGTTGCCGGGCAATGTCGCTGACGTGGCAAAAGGGTTTGATGGCATCTTTATCAACACGATGATGACGTCGACGCCGATCACGTCCGGTCGCCGCCTCGCGCTCGTCTTCCACTTGACGGGCGTCCATAAGACGCCAACAGGTCCGTCGCGGCTGCCGCTCAACTCGACGGGCCGTGCGGCCGAGCTGAGAACGCTCGCAAACGGACCGCTGCCCGAGTGCCAGCGCATTGCATGCGGCATCGATTACCTCGATGATGCGCTCCGAGATGCGGACGAGAAATGCCTGGACGACTACGACTTCCACAAGCCCTACGAACAGTACAGCGAAGAGGAAGACGAACCATTGTTCCCGCAGCTGTGGTCCAAGCATGCGCACCTCGCCGACCTTCTTGTGGCCACTGGCTGCTTTGACGTGGCGCTTGTTCGGTTCTCGTCGCGACCGATACACATACGCTATGACAGGTGCCATCGTACCTTTGTCGGCACCTCATAAAACGATATGTAGCTCCACCGAGAGCGAAGGCGACGAGAACGAAGTGGATACAAGCGTGCTGACGAACCAAGTCACGGCATTCGAGTTCCATCCGGTGCTTCAAGGCATATGGGTGGCCACGCCTCTCGTCCGCCTTCCATCGACTTTTGCGGCGCTGGCTCCACACGGAAAACCAACGCAGCAGCGTCCCGGCGCTCTTGTCGCACCTCGCGGGTCTCCCCAAAGAGGCGCCACGGTGTCTCGAGCAACCGTTCTTTGGCTCGTTTCTCAAGGCGTGTTGGTATGACGTGCAATCGCATTCGCCTTTTGCGGACGGCACGGACGCGCACTGCCTCCTCTTGGACTGGCACTTTGAAACCATCTCGCCCGACCTCGTGCACTGCGACTGGCTCGGCGATCGGCTGCCCCTCGCGCTTGTCGCGACGATCGATGCCTTTCTGCGCCCGCGCCGATTTGGCTCCTGCGCAGGTCCGTGCTCGCGCGACGTCGGACTCTGGCGTCTCGACCACGTGCCCATAGCGCTCATGACGGCGATCGAGAGCCAGCCTGGCGTGCCAACCACGCCGTACACGGACGCCATCGTGCATGCTTTGGACGCGATTCCAGTCGCCCATTGGCCGTGGCGACCGGTTTGCGAGTTTACGTCGGCACAAGGCGCCGCGCTCTTGAGCTGCATGCACTTGTGCAACCGCGTCGATCCAGCGCTGCTCGACGTGCTCGTCGCGCTGTGTAGCGAGAACGAGTCCAAGAGCAACAGCTCGGACCATGCTGTCGTCAAGTTTTTCCAGGCTCAGCCACGGGTTCTGGTCCTCGATGCAGCGGTCACAAGCCGCTTGGTGGCGTTTCTGCTCACCAATGCGGCGATGCTACCGGAACTCGTGAAACGGAGCACGCGCTGGTGGACCCTCGACGCGTACGCGCAGCTCGTGGCCGACGAGATACTCGCAACGCCAGTCGGTGACTGCGTTTTGGCGCGCGTTCAAGCCTGGGTCGCGACGCTGCCGTCGACGCCCGAGGCGAACCGGCAAGTGGTCTTCGTGGCCCTTGCCAAGCTTTACTCGGAGAAAAGCCTTGCCTGCTGCCGGAGCATCCTCGGTTGGCTCGCGACGACGTGTCGAGAAGCGTTTCTTCGCAGTGGCACGCTAGAACCCGTTGCGGGGATCAACGATTGCGTCCTCGACGACATCTTCGTCAATTATCGCCACTGCGCCGAGTGCAACGCGCTGCATCGTTTCCTCCTCGACGGCACCAAAGTCCAGCGCCAGATGCGGCGTCGTGTGTGCCCCCATGTGCACGCGACGGCGACCGCCCACGACGGCTGGCTGCGCTTGGAGCCGGAGCGGATTGATGGGCACTGGGCGACGCGATTGCGCAAGGTCCAGCAGGCAGGTCGTATGCCGATTGCTGACGCCGCACGAGCCAACAAGGACCACGCACACGACACCAAGTGCGTTAGGTTGCTCCAAGCCGTCCTTGCCCACTTGGAAACGACAGTCGCATAAGGCGGACATTGTCACATCCAGGATCGACATTCGAGGACGACGTTCGAAGGATCGATGTGTATGAGCTACCTCTCTTGTCTGCTTTGAAACGAGATGGTAATAATGTCTGTCGTGGTTGCGTGGACTAGGTTTGCGTTGGGTTAGCTTGCGGATGAAATGAGGCATCCTCGCGTCGGAAAGTTGCAGGCGACGATTATGTGGCATCAAAACGACCTCACGGAAGAGGTTGCTCGGTTGTGGGACCGAGCAATAGGTAGCGATAGCAGCAATCTATCGATTCAGCATGGCGCATGGCTTACCACCTCTGCAAACGATCGACCTCGAGCACTGACTGCTATGAAAGTGGTTGTCAACTGACAAGCATCTACCCACCTACCTACCTACAGCTTACCTCCAATCGATAAAAGAGCTGGCACCCCGCACAGCGAAACTTGGCCTACGTGTTTCCATAGGCCGCGACGACCGTCTTCCTTATATTTAATATTAACTACGCCTATACTTCCTACTAAAACTCTGCTTATGGCTGGAGCAAGCTCGACTTGTCCGAGTGTCGTCGGGGCGTGTCCACCAAACCCTCGTCGTCTTCGACATTGTGGCCCGGCGTTGACTCTGACTTGTCGCTACTGTCGGCAACATCCGCAGCCGGCTCGGTAGTCTCGGCCGCCGTCGTTGTTGCTTCCGTCGATGCTTCGGCAATGTCGACGACGACGACGACATCTGCATCCAACGAGGGCTCGTCCGGGAGGTCGTTGCTCTCGGAGCGGTCCTTGGTTGCCCCCAGCGGCGTCGGCGTATCCAAGTTGCCGGCAAGGAACGTCATGGTGCGGACCTTCTCCGGAAACTCGTCATCGGCGCGTTGGAGCATGTAGTCTTGGTAGCTCGGCATAAAGTTGTGGATCGCATCCGCGACAATGTCCTTGACGCTTAGCACCTCCTTCATGTTCTTGACGACCTCCGACTGCGGAATCGCTTCGCACGTGTTCTACGCAGTCGTGAGCGCCTTGCCAACTGGATCGAATCTCAACTCGTACCTTGAATTGGCCAGCGCCAAACGAGAGAACGTAGAGCACCGACACGGGCGCCATCTCGAGCGCGAGCACAAAGTCGTTCCATGCAAATGCTTGCTCTTTCGTGATGCGCGGGAGGCCGCCAATCAGCAAGGTCTGCCAAAAGGTCATGAAGATGACACTTTTGACCGCGAAAAACTTGAGCACGGGCGAGAACGGGGCGAGGATGTGCTTGGTCGCGAGGTAAAAGATGAGCAAGCCGTAGAGCGCGACGCTGTAGCTGAGGTTGTAGACGAGCCATGTGAACCACTGAAAGCCGACCGAGTCGTACATGCCGATGCCAAGCATGAAGAGCGAGAGAAGCGCCATCGTGGGCTTGAGAAACACAAACTGGATCGTCGCCTTCTTGCAGTTGCGCAAGAGCCGGCCGTCGCGCGCCATGGGCGGGAAGCAGTACCCGAACGGGAACGGGTGCACGATCTCGGCCTCGGTCACCATCTTGGACACGCAGTTGGATTCACCGCCTAGACATGGACGCCCATGAGCCTCTATCGTCGCTGCGTGTAGCCTCATGTGGCGACGCACCGGCAAAGGCGAGGACGAGGTTGAGGAAGCTATAGACGACAAACGCCTCGTACATGTCGCGGACCGCGTTGACGAGCGCGGCCTCGCGCACAAACTTGAACGAGACGAACGACCCGATCGCGTAGACGGGCACGATGAGCAGGATGCGAAGAATGTAGCGCTGGAGGTTCGGGCGCGTGTACGCGCGAAGGTGCTGGTACATGTTCAGAGCCGTGAGGCTGGTCGCGAAGAGCGCCGAGAGCGCCGCGATGAAGAGGCACCAGCCGCGCTGCGTCTCGACGAGGTTGAGCGGGAGCCCAAGGAGCGTTCCATTGCCCGTGACGTTGCCGCCGAGGACCACGGTCACGTTGACGCTCTCGGCGGGCTGGAACGCAGCGTCGGGCATCATCGGGCGACGGACGAAGCGCAAAAGTGGCAGGCCAGTTCCGCGGCTGGCATCGTATCCGGATCCGGATGCGAAAATGCTGATGTTAGGTACCGGGTATGTGGCCATGGGACCGGAGACCGATGGGACATCGCTGTATGGACACGTCGTGGGACACGGGCTGGCGACGATCGATGGTGTCGTCGAGGAGGATCGGTCGTCGACTATGAAAAATATATATATTTGTTGGTATTTAGACGTTGCTAATGCTGGCTGCTGTCATAGCGGAGGTCGAGCCATGGCAAGCGCAAGCTTGCTCATCCAACTCTCGACGCTACGAGGGAGAAACACAGGAAGCCAATGCGATGTTACGCCGAGCCGAAATCGTTGAAGCGGTTTGGCATTGCAGAGCGACGCAGCTGCCGACGCGTCTCTACTGCAAAGAGCCGCAGTCCATCGTAAAATGACCGCCAAGATCCAACGACAATGGAGCGATGTAGTCCGTTGGGTGACACGGCGATAACGTGCTGGAGATCGAAGGGATAGGACGGCGTCGTCGCGTTGACGCTGAGTACACTGTATACTGTGAGGAGAAGCAGAGACGAACGCAATCGGTTGGGTGCGTCAGGCTGGGTGTGCATAGAGCACGCTAGCAACCACCGTGCATCACGCCTTGACGCCAGCTCATGTGTTCAAGTATTGATGCCAGGTGGTCGAATCGAAAAGTGAAAAAGGGTGAAAATGTGAAAATGATTTCCTTTTGGCGCGAAATTCAAACAAAGTGTCGTGCGCACGCTGGCAACACCCAGTACTGCGAGAGGACAGGCACGTCGTCGGTGGCACCCGCCTCAAGTGTTGCTGGTCGTCAAATGCTTGATGCACTATACTAGTACTAGTACGATGTACATATAGCCATACGAGTGCTAGTATTTCATAGCGGTCGAGATTGTGGTCGTTCAAGTCGGTGGTCATCGGGAAGGTGTGCGTCAGAGCCCGCTAAGATCCGAATTTCAAACGTACGAAAGTACTGGATATCTTGGACCATCCATCGTTTTGGGAAAACACCACTTTTGAATTGAACTACTGTTGAATGCATCGCTCTCGCTATCTCTTGTTGAGCCCGATGCATCCTTCCCTCGAAAAACAGCCACACACCAAGCAAGGTAGTGTACAAACAACCTTCTTATCGCGTTGGGTTTACACTGCGACGAGGTGGGGGACGCTGCTCAACTTGCGGTGGCGCTTCTCTGGTCGGAGCGCGATCGTCGGCAGCAACATCGCACGCCACCAGGGCGAGCCAAAGACGCGTTCGACGTTTCGCCGCATCGCCGTCACGGAGAGGGTCTTGCGCAAAGGCTCGCTTCTACATCAACGCGTATTTCTCCATACGAGCGTCGCTGGTAATACCTGAGAAGGTCCAAGGTCGTTTGACCCGCGACAAGCAGGTAGACGTGAACGACCCAGAGGCTAAAGAGCGCGAGCGACAGCCCGACGCAGATAACGTACGGGAAATGCAAGAGCACTTGGTCCGAAAACGAGAGGTCATGCGGGCGCTGGGCCATGGCCGCGTCCGCGAGGTACGCGACGTGGGCGCAGTTGAGCCAGCCGTAGAGGAGGTAGAGCCAAAAGTACCCTAGTACACCTCGTAATTCCTCGGATCGTGTTCACCGTCGTCGTACGGTAGTTGTAGTAGCCAATGCAGTTGTTCATCCAGATGCAATGGTGGTCGAGCTCGAGGATGCACGCTTCGCACGCGTGGCAGTGCGTGCAGCGAGGCGGCTGCGGCGCGTTGCAGTAGTCGCACAGAATCGCATCTTCGTAGATCGTCGGCATCAAGCTCATTTCGCCAGGGCTGCTGCGAATGCACAAGACGTGGTTCCATAGCATTTGCACGAAGAGGAAGAGCCCGACGGCGCCATGGCCCAAGGCGACGCATGCGCCATGCAGCGCATAGAGCGGCGGTAGCATCGCGTAGAGGAAGGCGTAGAGCATGAAGGCCGAGAGGCAGAGGCCAGTCGCGACGAGGAGCGGGCCCAAGGCAGCCTCGAGCGCGTCCAGGGCCCCCACGACCCGCGACCACGGGCCCATGCAATCGGTTTTCCGAAACGCTTTGGCTGAACACACGCAACGCCGAACCGGTCTGAGACGGCCGACTTGGTCATATTATCGCACGGGTCGAAAAATGCTGCAACAGAAACTTCAAGCGCTCTCGACCCGTGCGGCTCAAGTCCTAGTACGGTATAAAGAGTAATCATAATCACGCTACTAGACTAGCAGGCGCAAGTTCCAGAGAGGTCCCATGATAGTTTGAGTTCGACGGCATGTATCACTCCATGCTATGCTTAACGCCGTGCTCGATCGCTACCACGTCGGTCTCGCATCGAGGATGGACGTTGAGCTCGCGAGCTAAGAGATGTGGGACACGGCATATATTCATTCCTTTGGGCAACGACACGGAGCTGGCTCGAGCACCACGGACCTCTTGCATGCAATGTAGCAAGTACTATTTTAGTAGCATCTATTTCGACTACAACGACAACGACAAGGCATGAATGGAGTGCCACCAGAGCTCGTCCCGCTGCTTGCCGTGTGGGCGAGCTGCCTCTACATGCCGTTTGCTGTCGCACTCTACGTTTACTTTAAGCGCCACCCGAGTCTGCGCCACCGGATGCCGACGGGCACGGCAATCGCCGGCGCTTGCGCGACAGTCTTTTGCCTCACCCAGCCGCTCTGCGTCCTCTACGGTGCCGAGATGGACTGCGGGTACATCCAGCTTGCAGCATCGAGAGATGATCCACGACGACGCGTAGGCTCGCGCTCGTCGTCCTTCAAGTGTCGTGTGCGACGTCGTCCTTTGCGCTAGTCTGGACGGCCTTTACCGTGCTCGTTCTGTACGGCATCACCGAGATCATTGCATCGCCGACCAGCGTGCCTCTCGAGCGCGCGGCTCTGTGGACCTCGTTCCGCGGCATGATCATCCCGACGGTCCAGATCCCAGTGGGGATCTGTGCGAGCATCACGTGGAATTTGCCACAGATTATTCTGTTGACGCTGCACAGCGACGAGATCGGGTCGCTCACCTACGCCGAGTGCGTGCAGGTACACGACTTTTTGTGGATAATATTGTCTTCTTATTGAAACGATATGCTCTAGTTGCCGCTGCATACAACGCAGTCGGTTGTCCAGATTGTCCAAGCACTCGTGCTCGTCCTGACCTTTTTATACGTGGCGTACCAGCTACGCTCAACGCTCGACACGTTTCGGCTACGGCGGTGCTTTACGCGCACGAGTCTCTACATGCTGCTGCTTGGAGTCTTCGCGGTTATCGACGTCCTCATCGAGACGGTCGTGTCGCTCGCAGCCTATCATATTACCGAGCTGCTGTGGACGCTTGCGCTTCAGGGGGTCGTCATCTTTAACATTTTACTCCCGCTCATCGGCGCGTTCCGTGGGCGGCACCAAGTCCAGCGCATCCGAGGCAGCGTCTCGCCACAAGTGCGTACATTTAGGACAGTGGGATGCCCAAGGAGTGTCGTTCATCCAGGTATTGGTCTAGGTCAATCTGGACACGTACTTGCAGATCGCCGAGTGCTTCGACAACTTTCTCGATTACTGCAACGAGGCCCAAGACAGCACAGGCATCGCGATGCTCCAGGCGTGGCAAGCTTGCGTCGCCTTCCACCACGCCGCGTCGCCGTACAATGTGGTTGAATTCTACCAACTCTTTGTCGCGAGCGGTGGCGCGGGCTCGATTCACGCTGTCCTGGACGACGAGATGCGGCGCATGTACGCCAAGCGCGTGCAGCACTTGAAGAAGAAGACGCTTTTGACGCCCCGCGCGATCAAGGTCGTGCCCTTAGCTTCCAGCGGCGACATTCATTTTTACCAGCCGCTGCGCCATGAGCTGGTACTACTAACAAACCAGCGCCTCTCAATACCAACGTCCATCGTAGATCAACAAGCTCGTCACGTGCCAGTTGCGCGGCTACGAAAAGCACGAGCTCGGAAAGGACTGGCTCGCGTTCCATACGCGCCGCCGGTCGATCCATAGCCTCGAGTACGTCCAGCGCGTCGCAACGCGATCCATCTTGGACACGGACACTGGGAATTCAAAAAGTCCGAGCAAACAGCTCCAGCCAACGCCATCGATGCTGCTCTCGTCGCTGGCCGCATCGAGCAACCCGCTTCCCAACCTCGAGACCCAAAGCGTACAACACGACGACTACTGTATCCTCTTCTGGATCCTCACGGCCAAGTGTCTAGAGTTTCCAGCGAAAACGACTCCTCAAGGTCATGTCCGACACGTCGTTTCATGCCAAGCGCGGCGGCGGTCGCGCCTTTGACGACCTCATGGGACATGGAAATTCCAAAAGTGCCGCTGCCTTGGTCCCGCGGGCACCTCCTCGGGCCGCAAGTGTCAAGCTCTTGCCTCCACGCTAATACATCACATAGTTCTCGTGAGCTTTTTGTGCGTGACATGAAATGCATTGATGCCCTACTGCCTGCACCGTCGTGTAGGCGAAGTGAGTTCGCTTCACGTACCTGGACGATAGCTGAACCCGCGGCCAAAGGCAGAAGACCATGTGCACCATGCGACGACACGCGCAACCAAGTTGTCGATTTCGTAGGGCTAGGGCGGGTAGGGTTCCGACCATGAAACGGGTTCAACGGCTGCGAGATGGAGAGCAGCCAATGCGTCGGGCAGGCGCTCGTGGGTCTTCGTCCGCTCCGTCACATGTATATGCTGCGAGCTCCATGTGTAGTACTATGTGATCTTAGTGCACCCGTAGGCTCGACGTCGAGGCGACGGTGCCCATCTTTGCCGACGACGGCGCGGCGCTGGGGCGGCTCGCGGTGCGGCTCCGACCGAGCACGACGCCAAGTGTGGTGACGGACAATCGCGGCGTGACGGCCAAGCGTGTGCCCGACGACGTCGACGATCTCTCGGACAACGAAGTCGAGAGCCTGGAGGCACTTGCTGGCACGTTCATTTGGTTGTCGCTGGCTACGCACCTCGTCGTCGACAAGCCGCCGACGCAACTCGTGCTCAAGCAGCAGCAGTATTGCCTCGAGTACGCCTTTGGCCAAGCGAACGCGCAGACAACGTCCATGGCCCATGAACAGGTGACCACTGTATAAAATAACATGCAGTAATGACTCTACATGGCGTAGACGATCAAGGTCCTCGTCAACCACGAGCTCGTGCAGTACGTCAGTACGGACGTCCTGGCCTTTTCGGTGCGTCTCGCGTCGCGCGATCCAAGGTGCGTGCGCGTGGAGATCGCATGGCCTCATGTCGCGGGCCTGGCAGTACCGCTACGAAAACCGACCCCGCAAATACCGAGTCAGTGGCGACCTCGGTTCGTTTGCTTGCATAGAAACGCCAGCGCTGTCGGTGGAGTAGAGTGATAGCAAGGCGCTCATGGAGCAACTGGGGCGCGAGCATGCGACGATGCTGGAGGAGGCAGAAAAGGAGCGCCGGCGCAACGACGCGCTCCTGGCCGAGCTCACCAACCTCGTGGGTCAAGTCAAGTCTCACGAGGACGAGCTGCGCAAGCAGGCCGAGAAGAGCCAAGCAGCGTCAAGCGAGCTCGCGGTCCATTGCACGTTGCAGACGCATCTTATCGTGCTCATATAGAAAGCGCAAGAGAAGGCGCGGGCAGATGTTCGCGAGCGCGAGGCGCTGCAGCGCCAGCTCCAAGAAGCCGACGCCAAGTGGCAAGTGCTCGCGACCACCGCCGAGAACGCCAAATCCAAAGTCTGCTGTATGCAGTAGATACGACACGATATGTAAAACAACCAATTACGATGTCGACGGGGCGGGCGGCTTGCGGTCGATCGCTTGCACGAGTGGCGACGTCGCAATGGTCTCGAGCGTCGCGACGTCGGCCCAGCCGTCGGCGAGGAAGCGCTCGCATCGGGCCGCGTTGGTCTCGTGGCGACGGAGGCGGAAGAGCTCACGCGCGTTAAAGCGGATCTTCTTGGCCATGAGCGGCGGGAAGCGCGCAGACGTCTCGAAGATCGCGCGGTACAGCCGCAGTGCGTGGGATCCAGCCATCATCATTAGGCTCTCGATACCAACTAAACTCGACCGACTGACTAAAGTGGGTTTTTCCCAAAAACCCACTCGAGGTGCGCCGGCGTCTACAATTGTGACGGCACCAACTGGCAACCAACGTCGTTGGCCAGACAAGGATTCTATCTACTCGTAGGACTCGGTGCGCAGTATACGACCGAATCTAGCTCGACCAAATGTCCGTTGTGGCTAGATACACCCGTCGGTACCAGCGTGTCGACTCGACGAGGTGCCAGCGTCTAGCCGCTTTGTGACTCGCTGTTGTCGGCAACGGACAGCGCCGACAACGTGCGTGATCAACTGTACGTCAGCAGAAAAGCAGCTCCTAGGTAGATCGTACGAAGGTGACACCAGCGGTTGATTCGCTGAAGGGTGCGGCTGTCGGCTCGTTGGGACCATTCGGCGACGGTACCTTATCTTGGCGCGTGCACCGCGCACGCCTCGAGGATTCGTCGCACACCTAGTCCACGACGAATCAGTCTTGGAGGAACACGCCGGAGTGAGCCTCGAAGGCAATACGTCATCAGCAGGATGATCGATCCGAGGCTACGGGTATCTACACCTTCCAGTTCGTTGAAGCGCACGCGGCGAACCTTCGAGGAAGAGAATCCAAGCACGGCACCTGCAGACGGACGCGCGGGTGCTTGTGCGCCTCGGTCGCTTCCACAAAGCGTACGCAGTGCTAGTACTAGCACCATTTGGCTAAGCACTATTACCTGCGTCGCCCTTACGACCGCACTGCAACGTTAGACGATCGACGACCGATCCGAGCTGGGGCAATTGGGCGAAACCTCCGCCACGTTTAGTCGAAAATGCCAGCTGTTTAGTGTGATTACGGTGGAGAAGGAAATGGTCAAGTTCCACGTGGTAGCTTGTCTGATGGGGGCCCACCCAGCTTGTCACGTCGGGCTTCTCGGACCGACACGGGCAAGCCGTGTCTCGTCGTCATACTCGTTTCGTGACGTGGCTACTGGGATACCGGCACGCATCTCAACCTGTCGAGGTTCGATCCATGGCTGCCATCAAGCTGTCATCAACTTCGACCAAATACTAGCCCATGCGAACTCGTAGGAAGAGGGTGGTTACGTAAACGAGTGCGTCCAACGGTGTACAACCAGTACGTATAGTGTCTTTTCTTCTTCTACAAGTGTCCTCGTGATCCGGTCCATGTAGCCACGCATGGATCAATTCTTGGTCTCATGGTGGGCTCGACTCGATGCCGCTCGCGCCGTGTCACACCCTTGCTGTGGGCTCGACTCGATGCGCTCCTGCCAGAGATAGAGTCATCATCACCGCATCTTTGAACGGGGCCGGGCCCGACCTCGGTCGCCCCTCCCGCCACCAGCGTGTTGATTATGAGGTGTCTGTTCCATGCAATCAACGGCAAGATCCAGCGGCGCCATTTAATCCTACGATTGCAAGGTGCTAAGATTCCATACAAACATCAAGTAGATGGCACGGTGGATCGGGCGAATAACGTATGCTGCACCATATATGGTTGCGCCGCTTTACAAATCCATGTATACATTGTCGAACATTAACCATTTGAGGCATATACAAGCTGCTAGGCCGTTCGGACACATCTGCACCGCAAATAAAAGACGTTTACGGAGGTTGAAGCGGACATGTCAACAAAACGCTCGGACACGCGGTTAAAACTGCGGTCTTTATACTGGATGTTTGTATGCCATGCCGCCTTTCTCGGTGTCAAATAATTTTAAGCGCTTGTCGCGACCGCGCTCGTGTTCAGAATTCAACTTGCGCTTGCGCCAACACTTGCAGCATGACGACCAGACCGCCCTTCTCGATCACCTCGATGCTCAATGACGACGCACTACGAGGCCGACGACGTGTCCGACTCGGACGACTCGCAGACGACGCCCGAGACGCGGCCGCATGGCCGGAAGCGCCAGCGCGACTTGCAGCTCGTGACGACGCTCGCGAGCGAAGCGATGACGCTCGAAACGACGCTGTGGAAGATGCGCCACGCCGTGAGTGAAAAGATGGAAGCCGCGACGGCCTGGGAGCGATCGGCGCGCCTCGAAGCCATTGGCCGGCACACATTAGAGGTCCAGCGCCGCAACCTCCATCAAACCGTCGTGGCGCACTGCAAGGCGATCCACTCGCTGCAGTCGCACCTCCTCAAGTCGGCGACGCTCTCGTCGATCCCGATGAAGCGGCCACGACGACACTACTTTAGCCCGTCGCCGCTGCCCGCGATCGAGCGCGACGACACGATCATCGATGCGTCCAAGCCACATGGCGCCGTCAAGATCGCATCGCTCACATCCGAGGCCAAGGAGCTCGTCTCGATGCGCTGCCAGCTCATCCAGCGGCTCGACCAAAAGGCGCGGGACGCTTCACCGTGGGAACTCAGTGCGCGACAGGAGGTATGTACATTGCTCGTCCCAAGTAGTTGTGGCAGGATCTCATGGTATGCTGCTAGACGCTGGACATGCACTCGGCGCTCGTAGAGAACCGGAATTTGAAGGCGTGTCTTGAAGAGTACATGAAGTACCTCACCGCGCTTCGCTTCATGGTACTCAAGTGCCCACTGGCCACTGACGAGGCCTTAACAACGACGACGATGTAATCTGATGCTATAATTTACGCTGCACTCGAGCAGACTTTTTGATTGGATATCTATGCTACGCGAGAAGCTACGGCTGCTGGCCCATGGCCGCACCTCGCTTCATGAGATTGACGCTGTCGTCGTCGGTCTTGGCGGCTGCGAGCTTGGGCATCTTGAACGAGAAGGACGACATGCGTCCGAAGGTCGTCGAGTGCGCGCGCTTCTTCTCCGGCGACGAGTCGGGACCACGGTAGTAGCGCGGCGGCAGCGTCGGCATGTCCTGCAACGTCGTCCACTTGGCCGACGACACGACATTTTTGGTCGTCGACTTCTCCAGCATTGGTGAGAACGCGTCATCGACCACTTCCTTCTTGATGTAGATGGGGGTCGCCATGGACGGCGATGACGGCATTACGCGCAGTGGTGAGGCCGGTGACGCCTGGGGCGAGGCCACTGGCGACGCAGTCGGCGTAGGCGCCAATAGCATGCGCGCCGCCTGTCGCTTGGGCGTCACAACGGGCTCCGGTTCCGCCTCAATAGCCTCTTCCTTGATAACGACGTCTTCGTCGACCTTCTTGGGGCGAATCGGCTTGGGTGACGACGACGTTCTCGTCACCACAGTCAAAGGCGTCGCAGCGACGGGCGCAATGGGCTCAGGTGGCGGTGTCGAGAACGAGAACGACTTGATCTGGCCCAGTGTACGTGAGATCATGCGGCGTTTCTGTGGCGAGCTGCGCACGGTCTTGAAGTACTTGGGTGGCAGCGACGTCGCAGGCTCGGGCTTGATGCTGCCAGTCGCCGTGTGCGTGAAACTCGCGTCCTTCTTGCGCAGACGCGGCGACGACGGCGGCGAGAAGGGGCCAAACTCACAGAACAAGAGCGGTTCGAGGCTCATGGCATCGAGGCTGAACTCGTCCTTGAGGAAGCTGTCGTCGGCAAGGGTCGCGGACGGGCGAAAGATGTCGGCGCCGATGTCCATCTCGAGTTCGTCGACGGCGAGACCGAAGCCATCGTCGGCGTCATCGGTCGAGAGGTCCAGGAGCGACATGCTGCGCCAATTGCCAAGTGCGCAATCGTTGGTGCATGGCGGCCTTCTCCCTACCAAAGTTTATACGACTGCCACGGGCAAAGATTGGTCCATGACAAAAAGGGTACATCCGCCAAATTCAACCTTAGAAAGTCTAAATCCACGCAACTTGCCCGGCAGAGGGAGCCGACGAGCGTTGCACACACCGCGGCCGGTGGCAAAGGATACGGCAACTGTAAGCAACTGTAGTGGAGAGCGAGCGTCCAGGACGACCACAACCATCTATCAACTGCCAACACAGTCACCCTTCCCGGTTGCAGCCCAGATCTCTAGGCCACCGTCCCATTCACTCCCAGAGCCGTGTATCCAGGATGCTCCAATCATCGTTTCCTATCACTTCCACGGAGCGCTTCCTTGAGCGTGCACCTCTGGTGCCTCATCCATGATGGCTCCAGTGCACCGTTTGTGTGTCAATCACCGCCTGATCCGAGCCAGCGCGCCCCAAGTTGCGTGTTTTTAAACCTCTCCACGCTGGCGTCCGCGCCACGCACCCTTTTTGTCCCGACCTCGCTAGCGGCAACTCAATCTTTCGACGCCCGCCAAGTGCACTTGCGGTTTGTATGGCCAACTTCGACGTTCAGCGCCCATGTATCTTTGCTGGCATAGATGAGCCGACGTGTCGTTGGTATTGAAGTGGGTTAAAAGAACGGATTGATGCCTTGGTTATGGTTGCCCTGCTGCTGCTGCGATTGCTGCTGGGGCGGGAACCCGCGCGCGGGCTGCTGCTGCATCGAGCCCATGGCGCCAAAGCTGCCGAAGCGGTTGTCTTGGGGCGCTGCTTGGCCCATCGTCATACCCATCGTACCGGGTGGGGCCATGCCTGCGTTCGGCTGGCCCATCATGCCGCCCATAGTAGGCTGGCCCATCATGCCGGGCATACCGCCCATGTTGGGCTGGCCCATGTTGAACATCGGGCGCGGGCCCGACGAGCCGTTGCTGCCAAAGTTGCCGGGCGCTGGCGCGTTGCCGCCCATCATGTTTTGCGGCGGCATGCCACCAAAGCCGCCCATTGGCCGCGGGTTCGAGCCATAGCCTCCGGGGGCCGCACCGCCCATGGGATTCGCGGACGGTGGAGCACCACCAAAGCCGCCGGCAGGCGCACCAAAGCCGGACGGGGCGCCAAAACCGTTGTTGCCAGGCTGGCCAAAGCCACCAGTGGCCGGTTGGCCACCAAAGTTGGGCTGACCACCGAAGCCACCAACGGCGGGTTGACCGCCAAAGTTGGGCTGGCCGCCGAAGCCACCAGCGGTGGGCTGACCGCCGAAGTTGGGCTGACCGCCGAAGTTGGGTTGACCACCAGCGTTTGGCGGACCCCCAAAGTTTGGCTGACCCCCAAAGTTAGGCTGGCCACCGAAACCACCGGCATTGGGAGGACCACCAAAGCCGCCGGGTTGACCACCGAAGTTGGGCTGGCCACCGGGCTGGCCGTTAAAGTTGGGTTGACCACCGGGTTGGCCGCCAAAGTTGGGCTGACCACCAAAGCCGGGCATGGGCTGGCCACCGAACTGAGGCTGGCCCGGAGGCATCATGCCACCAAACGCGTTCTGAGGTGCCGCCGGTGCACCAAAACTGGCCATGATGTTGTTCTTCGCGGTTTCGTGTGTCGGCGGGGCAGGCGCTTGCAAGAAAGCGTCGCCAGACGGAGCCTTGGTCTGGCTGCCAAACTGAGAGCTGCCCGTGAAGCCGCCCCAGTCGTCTTGCTTGGGGGCGGCGGCCGCGGGGGCAGGTGGTGGCGGCGCAAACGGATCGAACGGGGGGTTGGCCGGCACGCCAAAGTTGCCAAAACTCGATGCTGTGGCTGCAGCAGCCGGCGCCGCCGAGAAGTCGCCAAAGTTGAGAATGTCGGCAGCGGGGGCAGCTTTGGGGGCCGCCTTGGGGGCGGCCTTGGCACTGCCCGTTCGTCGCGACGGAGCTACGTTTCTCGCGATTTATACGCTTTCATTCATCTTGCAGAGACATACCAGGCTCGCGCTCTTCTTCGGACGCTTCGTTTTCGTACTCTTGCTTCTTGGTCTTGCCGCTGCCCGTTCTCCGGGCGCTCGGACCGTCGTCGCCTTCGCGGCCAACAAATCGCTTGCGCTCGTACTTGTCGCGAATCCACATTTCCTTGTCACGCACGGACGAGTGCTCTGTGGGGATGCGGTAGTCGCGCGGGACGCAGGCTTCGTAGTACTCTTTCGCCTTGGCGTTGCCCCACTTTTGCATTTGCTACACGCATCGCACCATCAGTTCCTGCCGTTCTTCATATGTACCATGGGCGTACCGTGACTTGGTCGGAGGTCCATGCGTCCAAGTTGACACTGCGCACAAACGTGAGGTGCACGCCGAGGCTGCGATGGATGCCCGAGCACGCAATGCAGATGAAAACGCCGAGGTTGATGGACGCCCAGCGCGGGCCGCGGGCACCGCAGTCGGCGCAGAACCTGTTCTCGTCGCGCTTCATGAGCTCGTCCAGGATCTTCTTCAGCTTGGTCTGGTCGTCGGGCTTGCCCGACTTGGTCTTCGACGCCATCGTGCTCGCCGGTCAAATCGAGAATAAAAGACGCTGGCCGAGCAGCGGTGTGAAACACCTCAACGTCAAGGAATTCAATTACATACAAATCTCAAGATATCATTAAATGGACAATTAAAAATAGATCCATACAAAGCCCACGTACCTCGCGAAACGAACGCCAGTCACCTCGACCGCCGATAGAATACGTGGCAGCACTGCAGTGGCCTATAAGCTCTGATACCGCCACCCGAGCTCCTTGGGCTGTCGTTGGAGGTTCGAAGGACGTCGCGCGTCTGCGCCCCACGTTTCGTGCCAGCGTATCTTTTGCATACTGTTGCCACCTCAAATTACAGTGTCTGGCAGCTGGCTAAGATTCTGTCTGCAAGTCGAACGTCGCGCTGGCCAGGAGGCTACATGTTCCACGAGCACCGTCGCATACGCGAGCCGATAACGAGCGCCCAAGGCCTTGGGCCTCTTGAGCCGTCAAGTCAAGAGTCAGTCCCGCACCGACTACGTGTCGCTCGCGCTTCAACGCCCCGCCAAGTGTTGAAGTAACACTAGTTTCAGGGACGTACACTATATGCATTATTCGGATATCGTGTGATACTGATTATAGTGTCAGTCTTCCGAGGATAAAGTTGCGTTCGCATGACGGTGCACAAGCCGAACAAGCGACGCGACAGCGCGACGAAGCGCCAGCGCAACAAGCCGCCGACTGAGGCGCCCTCAAGCCGACCGCAACTGCCGCCTCTGGAGATCCACGCGCCGCCATCAGCCGTCGCGATTACGAGCCCGATCATGATCGCAGCGCGGCCTCCACCGCTGGTGATCCCGCCGCTCGTGACGCCCGCCGCCTCGCCGACGCCACGCCGGACACCGTCGTCGCGGCCCTCGTCGCCCCGACAAAAGGTCAACCTCGCGCCGCCGCCGCAGCGCGCGCTTCTTGTGGACTTTCTGTACCGCGAAGTGTTTGGCATCATGGAGATCAAGGAGAGCGAGGGACCGCACAACCAGCAGCGCGTGGTCAACTTTCTCAAGTCGTTTGTCGAGATCGAGAAGCTCGTGCTCTATGGCCTCCTCCTCTGCATCGACAGCTTCATCTACGTCTTCACGTACCTCCCGCTGCGCATCGTCCTCGCGCTCGGCTCGGGCGTCGTCTCGCTCTTCTACAAGCGCACGTTCCGCCGGTCGCACATGCATGACATGCTCCTTGCGATCATCATGGTACTCAGCACGAGTGTCTTGTACCAAGTGGACATGTCCCGCGTGTACCACTTGATCCGCGGCCAAGCGCTCATCAAGCTCTACGTGCTCTTCACGATGCTCGAGGTAGCGACGTCTCATCATCTTTCAGAACGCGCCATAGAATCCGACTAGATTGTTGACAAGCTCTTCTGCTCGCTGGGCCAAGACGTGCTGGATGCCATGTACTTTACCGTCAAGTTCCAGCCGCGCCGCATCGGCCGCATGACGTTTGACTTTACCATCTGCAGTCTCTACGTCGATATCCTTTCCGCCTCCATCTCTTGATGCTTGGTCGTATCCTGCTCTTGTTTTCTTGCTACATGTGTGTACTGCTGCACTCGCTTCTCCTCTTTGGCCAGGTCGTGACGATGAACGTGGCGATCCACTCGAGCTCGACGTCGCTTCTGACGCTGCTCATCTCCAACAACTTTGCCGAGCTCAAGGTGCGTACGATCGGATGTTGCCATGCGTGTGGTCATGGCAACGATGACCAGACAAGTGTCTTCAAGAAGTTTGAGGAGCAAAACCTCTTTCAGATTGCGTGCAGTGGTACGTACATCTCGAAATCTCCAACACGCTGTATGTCCTTCTGGTCGATAGATATCGTCGAGCGCTTTAAGCTCATGCTCATCATCGGTCTCATCTTGCTGCAATCCGACGGCAAGGACGTGGCCGACGGCACGGTACGACGTCGCCGGTGCGCCATAGAGAATGATGATGCGCGATCTTGTAGGCCATGGTGCTCTTGGCCGAGATGCTCATTGACTGGATCAAGCATGCGTTCATCACCAAGTTCAACCAGATCCCGCCGAGCGTCTACTCGAAGTTCATGACGATCCTTTGTCGGGACGTCTCGGGCTACCGCAGCGACTCGGTACGACGGCTTGACTCGCACGTACATACCGGTCGTTCCAATAGACGATCCAAGACCACACGCAGTTTGTGTCTCGTCGCCTCGGGCTCATCTCACTCCCGCTTGCGTGCGTGACGGTGCGCATGGTGCACGAGGCGCTCAAGGACGCCGAGACGGCCGCGTCCCTCGAAGGGGACTGGGCGTTCACCATGTCGCGGCCCGCGTGGATGTGCATCCTTGTGCTCGGGTTCTTTTGCCTCAGCGCCTTCAAGGTCGTCGTAGCATATTATCGTCGACGCAACATGCCGATGCCTCGTTTGTAGGTCTTGCTGAGTCTCTGGCTCATGGTGCATGCGTGCACTTCGGGGCGTTTAAGCTCGTCCTGGAAGTCGGCCCCGCCGTCGTCGCCCCGCGCCCGTGCGCCAAGAGAGAATACGCCGGTCGCCGATCCCACTACGCGCTTCTCGATCTAATTTGCGGGTAGCACCAAGCACAAAAGCAGATCGCATTCGCATATATCGTATGTCTATGTATCGATCGCTCTCACAAGACGTGGCCGACGGGCCCCATGGGCTGGGCGTGCACGGACGGCAGCACGACTTCTTGCTGGTCAAGGAAGGTGGCTTCGTACACGTTGCCGTCGTACGCGTACCGGATGTACCTACAAGCGATGTTCGAGAGACTCGATGATGCTCATCTCGTACAGCTGGGGGCCGTCCTTCGGCACTTGCGGGTCGTAGAGGCCAATGCACGGGTCATAGAAGCCGAGCAAGCCCGCCTTGGACGTGGCTTGGAGGTGCAAACGACCGTCCTACGTCATGAAGGTCCTATCTGCAATCCAAGAATCGTTCGAGGGAATACGTGGAGGAAGAAGCGCAGCGGAATCGTCACGTCGATATTGACGTCTTCGATCGACGACGGAAGCCCATCTTGCGCCGTCTGCAACGCGTGGTCGCATCACATGCAGTTGGAAGAGACGTACCGTCGGGTGCTTGCCATAGCGCGCGACCAGAATCTCGATGCCTGCCTCGGTCGTCTCTTTCTTGGCCGTACGGGCCATGAGCGTTTGCTGCGCGAGCGCACAGCGCCGGGCCTCCATGAGGTACGAGATGCGACGCGCGTGCTCCGACTGTACTTGGCTAGCACGGATTCTATCAACTTGATACGATTGGCATACCAATACCGCAGCTGCTTGCGCTTTTGCGCCGGCCGAAGCACTTGGCGCACGACGGCCGAGACCACAAACGGCAGCGTCGCCGCAAAAAATGTGTTCCAGGCCGTCGCGGTCGAGAGCGGTGCGATCGCAATCGGAATCGCAAACCGCACGTTACCGCGTGCGAGCCTGAGACATGTGTTTCGTATCAATGTGTCAAGTGCGACAATACCCGAAGCGGAGGTTGATGCCTTGGAGGGCGAGGCGCAAGGCGATGCTGACGCGGCTCCGGCGCGACACTTGGGACGTGGTCGTGAGCACCATGCCGACGTTGCCGAGGCTCGCGTCGACGCCGACCTTGGCCGACGTATGGGAGGTCACTTGCTTCTTGAGGTTCACGCCGAGATGCGGGCCGTCGTTCTGGATCGCGAGCGACGTGCCAGCCTCAATCGACTCGTCCTGGTACTGCAAGCTCGACTTGAGACCATCGTGAAGGCTAAAGAGCATGCTCGCTATGTATCGCACATGGTGAGTACTACTATCGAGGTATCACGTTGGTCAAATGTACCTTGCAGCGGCAACGTGGGCGAGAGACGCAGCACGTGGTGGACACCGACCGTCATGTCGAGGCCGTCGGTCGTGAGCTTGGGCATGAGAAAGCACGACGTCGTCGACGACATGGGTTGCTCCTATATCCACACACAGGCGTCAACGACAGAGATGCAGTGGCGACGTCGTACAAGATGCACGCTGAGCTTGGGCGTCCAGCCCATCTCGGACGAGAGGTATATCCGCAGCGCAGCGGGGTCGGCCGTCACGTAGTTGATGCCGCACGTGAGCGCGCCGAGGCCGAGCCCGTCCTTGTCGTAGAGGTACCCGCCGAGCACGAACGTCGTGTTGGGCGACACTTGGATGTTGGTCGACTGGCGCATGACCATTTGCGAGATGCTGATCATGCGGTGGTCCTTGTTGAAGATCTGGCGCAGCGAGAAGAGCGGGAAACGCACAAAGTCGGTCGCGTCAATGCTCACTTCGCAGTCCGTATGCGAGAGGAACTGCGCCTGGATGTGCTTTTCGTTCCAGCGGCGAAGCAGCACCCGGACGCGCTCCTCGACTTCGGCGTCCGTGGCCACATACGTACCGAGCGTCCAGTCGGCCTTCTTGTCTTCCTCAAGCGCCAAGACGCCTCGTTCGCCATAGTTGTCGTACGCCAAGCGCAATGGCGCCGACGAGAGCACCTTGTACGCGCGGTCCAAGCGCGGGTACTCTTGGTTCGCCTCGTCCGTGTGCTTGGTCTTGTCCGGGTGGAACTCGCGGCTCAGCGCGAAGAAGGCCTTGCGCACCTCGTCGGCGGTCGCACTCCGGCTCACGTTCAGCGCCGCGTAGTAGTCGACCTCAGGCGTCGCGTTGAACCAGACGCGGGGCAGTGGTTCGTCGGCCATCCCAGTCGATTGTGCAGCCACTGGCCCGTCTGGTTATCCGGATGACATCCGCATACGTGGCCAGCCCAAGGACCAGGCACGGATGGCAGCCTCGCCGTCGCCTCGGGGTGTCAATCGCTCGGACGCGTCAAGCGTGTATATCTATTATAATAAGCTACTGCTAGTCGTCCATCTCTGGGCACAAGAACGTGGCTTCGACGAGGCCGTTCAAGCGGGCTTCGCGCGGGTTGAGCGGTGCAAGGAGGTCGGTCTCGGTTTCGCGCGACTTCATGAGGCAGTAAAAGCACACGCGCACACGGCACGTCTTGGTGTCGTTGAGGCCTGTCGGGACGTGCACTTTGGTGTTGCACTTGCGGCAAATGACTTCGCCGCACATGCGGCAGTGGTGGCGCCGGAGCATGAGCCGAAAGGTATCCGTGCACACGGAGCACTCGGTCCGGTCCGTGTCGCGGACCCATTTCTCCGTGCCAATGATGGCGAGCTTGGCGAGGCGCATGTTTTCGGCGGCCGTGCGGATGTTGATGAGCCGGTCGATGACGTGGTCGTGGAACGCTTGGAGCTTGGGCCGCGACGTGCCGGGTGCTTTCCAGTCGATGTGTGCTGCGTACGTCACCTCGACCACGTGCGGCGTCGAGGTTTCCATGACCAGATACGCCTCGCAGCGAACCGAGGCGCGGGTAAACCTAGGATCATAGTCTCAATCGCGTCCAAGCATGGGATTGCAGTGACCGTACTCTGGCTTGGGCGGGCAGACGCCGAGGCGAATGGACTCGACGACCCGGTACCCCATCCACGCGTCGTCGTCCATGCGCGAGACATCCGTGTAGTCGAGGCTCACAAAGTCGAACGTCTGCGGGTGGTCGATCATGCCCTTCACGGCCATCCACTTGAGGCCGCAGTGGAAGAAATTGCCCTCGCTGCGAATGAGGTCGAGCACCTTGGCGTCGACGACATGGTCGCCCATGATGGTGCGCTGGTTGGCGAGAAACTCGTCCGAGGTCGGGCTGCACAGCAGCTTCATGATGTCCTTGACGGTCCCGTTGACGCGCACGGTGGCCCGGACGTCCTCCCAATGCAATGGCGACGCATAGACGTCGACGCCGAGCTTGTTCTTGACGAGCGCGCGCGCGACGGACCCGTCCTTGGAGGCAAAGTCTAGCGCCGCATGCTGGCGCGACTGGATGTAGCGGTAGCAGGTCGACTTCTCGGCGGCGCTCAGCAGCGACGAGCGCTCGTGGATGACAGGCGGCGCCGCCGACGACCGCGTCGGCCGGTCGTACGCGACCGAGATACGGTCGTCAACCAGCACGACGCTCTTGGTGCGTGACGTCGGCGGCTGGCGGCGCGGCTCTTCCCGGACGCCGCTGGCAATGCTATGGCTCTTCCCTCGCAGCATGCTCGTCTGGCCGATTTGAGACTGACGGGCCGATTTCCCACATGTGAAAAATCCCACGTGGTTCTCCACCCTGTTACACGGCATTGCGTGCGATGGCTACATACGTGGGGGGCCCTACTTGAAAACAGCTGGTTTGCGCTCTGCCACACCGCAATGCAGAGATAGACCTTGCCAGATGCTTGCATGCAAGCTTCCTCGCCTCACGGCGCATTGTCTCCTGCTAATAGTACGAGGCCGACCAACAGGGAGTGACTGGTTCGCTCTGCGTTGCCAGAAGCGTTTCCATCAAAAGCCCAAGCTAGACCCATGACGTGGCACGCGGACAGCACACATCTTGCCTGCTGCTGCGTGAGTACCAGCAAGATGGATCTCGTGCCGCCTGGGGCACACACAAGTGATTCCCACCCCGCAGCGCACATTTCACACGGTGCGGGAGGCGACAATATGATGCATTATGACGCTGGATGGCCAATATTGTCTTGCCGCCAGCAGAGTCTTGCCTGCTTCGCGAGGTTCCTTCTTCTTCGCTCCTATGGACGAAACACGTTCGTTGGCGACCTTGGTTGGTGACTGGTGTGTGCAACACGGTATCGTCGTCTTGCCACGCTCGCTCGTGGTGTTCCAGTTGTCGGCCTCTCGATCGCAGCTCATCGTTTCGATACAAAATGGTGCTGAGAGCCATCTTGGGTGAGAGCCGTGTCGGACCGGCTCGAATCTCATTGGCGTTGACAAGGAACAACGCTGCTGTATTCAACCACACGGCGCAGTCCCACCCGCCAGTGTCTTTGTACGCCATTGGCTCGGTTGGTTGGGTCGTACAGCAAGCTGCTTACGCAGTAGGACGCGCGTTGAAGCAGCACAGCTTGGTCCGTTAGGGTCCATGACGCTGAAGGCTGGCATCAAAGGTTTGCAGGCGTGCGGGAGTGCTGCTAAAGCACGTAGCTCGGTCGCATGCTTTAGTCTTGGGTCGCAGCGGACACACGGAAACGGTGCCAAAGTTGTGTCAACCTGTGTGACAGCCTCGCACACTGGTGCTGCCACGTTTCATCTTGGCCAGACGACTCATGTAGCCTTGTCATTGGGACGTCGACCGCAACAGAGTTGGGAGCGCATCCCAGCTCGATTCAAACCGACGGCATCTTTTAAGTTTTTGAAGTGGAGCGAGGAAGAGATGGAAGGGCGACAGTTGAGGGTCCAATCTCCAGACGTGGTAAAAGTATTGTATTGGCAAAACGACGTATGCAGGACGCCGAGCGCACTGCGAGAAGTACACGAATTTGTCTACTCGTCGGAGACGCGGTCGGACGCCGATGGACACGTCTACTACGGTGTTATATATATAAGCTCGACCCTTCTTAGATGGTCTTGTTGCGCATCGACGCGACGTCAAAGCCGGGCATGTTGAACTTGGTCGCAAACGCGTTGACATCGGCGCGGAGCGCCTTGACGCCGGCATGCGACTCGAGCGCCTTGTTGAAGTCGACGATCTTCTTGCCCGTCGTCGCCTGGATCTCGAGGCAGAGCTGGACGGCGCGGTGGAGGAAGCCGGCAACAGTCACAAAGTCGGCCTCCTTGAAGCCACGCGAAGTCAAGGCCGGCGTGCCGACGCGGACGCCACCGGGCGTGACGGCGCTGCGGTCACCAAGCACCGAGTTCTTGTTGAGCGTGATGCACACTTCGTCACAAAGCTTCTCCATCTTGGAGCCGGTAATGCCGACGGGGCGGAGGTCCCAGAGAAGCAAGTGGTTGTCAGTGCCGCCCGTCGAGAGGACATAGCCGTACTCGACAAGCGCGGCCGCGATCGCACGGCAGTTGGACTTGACCTGCTTGGCGTACGCCTTGAACTCGGGCGTCATGACCTCCTTGAGCTGCGTCGCGATGGCCGCGATCTGGTGCTCGTGCGGGCCGCCCTGAAGCGCAGGGAAGACAGCCTGGTTGATCTTGTTCTCAAAGCCACGCGTGTCCTTGCGGAAGAAGATCATGCCGGCGCGCGGGCCGCGGAGACTCTTGTGCGTCGTCGTCGTGACCACGTCGCAGAACTCGAACGGGCTCGCGTGCTCCTGGGCAGCGACGAGGCCCGAGTAGTGGGCCATGTCGCACATGAGGAGCGAGCCGTTGTCGTCGGCGATCTTGCGGAACGCGGCGTAGTCCCAGTCACGCGGGTACGCGCTGCCACCGCAGACAATCATGGCGGGCTTGAAGAGCGCGGCGGTCTCGGCGAGCTTCTCAAAGTCGACGAGGCCCGTCTCGGGGTGCACGCGGTACGGGAGCGACTCAAAGTAGACCGAGGTCGCCGAGACGGCCTTGCGCGTGTTCTCGGCCTTGGAGTACGTGTAAAAGCCGTGGGTCAAGTGGCCACCACTGGGCAAGTCGAGGCCCATGATGCGGTCGTGCGGGCGGAGGAGCGCCGTGTAGACGGCAAAGTTGGCCGGCGAGCCCGAGTACGGCTGCACGTTGACACCCCACTCTTCGGGGTTGAGGCCATACGCCTTCAAGGCGCGCGTCTGGCAGAGCGTCTCGATCTTGTCAATGACCTCGTTACCGCCATAGTAGCGCGCGCTCGGGATGCCCTCGGCGTACTTATTGGTCAAGCACGAGCCAAGGCAGTCCATGACGGCGCGCGACGTGAAGTTCTCGGACGCGATGAGCTCCAAGCACTTCCACTGGCGGTTCTTCTCGGCCTCGATGAGGTTGAACATCTCCGGGTCGTGCTGTTCCAAGCTAATGTTACCGGAGGCCGACATGGTGAGGAAGAGGAGGCTGCTGCGACGAAGGAGGCAAAAGGCAAAGTGCCAACCTCGACGGATCAAGGGTTTTTCGAACGCGGTCTGGATGGCGCAAGGCCATTGGCCAAAATGAAAAAAGATCGTTGCGTCATCCAATCCCATCGTGTGTCGAAAAGATCCATGGTTTGATTAGGTAAGCGGATGTGCATTAAATTTCCATGTCTTTTTATACTTTCGCACGATCTTGCATACAATACCGCAGTGAAGGCACGCGAAGACTACTGCAAACCGAATTAAATGACACTGGAAAAGCATCGCGTGGAATTAAATGGCACATCAACGGTATACGCATCCGCAGCCGAACGCATCGGGAATTCGTGGCCGTGGCCAGGGGTGTATGGTAATCGTCGTCTGGCGCTGCCACGTAGTACGTCATCGCTCGACGGTCGTCGCTGATGCGTATACCGAGGGCAATGCATGGACTCGCTCGTCTACCTGGCAGGGGTTCGCTTGGGGCCGTTGAGCAGGCTTCGTGATGGGTGCGACATGGCATCCGGCAAGGCGCACGGTAACTCTTGTGGCCGCCGATGCGCGCGTCGGTGGCCATCTAGGCACGTGCTCGCGTGACTGGCCATGAGGCCGTGGTATCCTTGACGTGGCGCCACGAACGAGAGCCACCTCATTTGTGACTTGCGCATTCGCTCCGGCACCACGATCGACGGTCGTCGTCGTTGGGTCCCGGATGTACTAGTAGGAAGGTTTCGTTGCCTGTGGGAAAGCTCTGGCAACGGAATCCAACCAACACAACAACACGCCGAGGATACAATGAACACGTCTTTCGAGCCGTTGGCATAGAGGAGGACGTCGTGCACGCGAGCCGGGACATCTTCTACTGCTGAGCGGTCGTGATGTAGTGGACGAGGTCGATGCGGGTCGCAATGTGCGAGACGCGGTCGTTGGCGTCGCACACGAGTGTAAAGAACTCCTTGTCGAACGTCTCGGCGAGGTCGGCGAGGGTCGCATCGGGCAGGACGCGGCTAAAGTGCTGAAACATGCCGACGCTGACGCAGTCCTTCGCGGCGAGGCGGCCGGACGCGAGCTTGGAGAGGAGTTGGCCGTTGGTGACGACGCCGAGGAGCTTTCCGGTCGCGTCGACCACCGGCATTTGGTCAAACCCATTGGCTTCCATGACGCCGATCGCATCCTTGCACGAAATCGTCGGCAGAAGCGTCTTGGCCGTCGGGAGGCTCAGCACCGAGAGCGGCTGGGCGGCCCACCACGTCTGCATCGACTTTTTGAATTTCGCATAGTTGTCGGCCGTGTGGAGCGTATCTTGGACAAAGTCGTTGTCGTACATCCACTGGTCGTTGAGGAACTTGCTCATGTAGTTGCGCGTCGAGTCGGCGAGGAGCACCACGCAGCGCTGGCCTTCCTTCAATGTCGCTGCCGCTTGGACGGCCGCCGCCATCGTCGCGCCGCACGAGCCGCCGACGAGCAGCCCTTCCTCGCGGATGAGCCGGCGCGCCATCACAAACGACTCTTGGTCGCGGGTCTTGACCCACTGGTCGACGAGCGACCGGTCGAGCACTTGCGGAATGAAATCGTACCCAATGCCTTCGACCTTGTACGGCTGGAGACGGTCTTCGTTGTTAAGAGCCTCGGGCTGCGCGAGGATCGAACCGACGGGGTCGACGCCGACAACAATAATGTTGGGGAGGCGCTCCTTGAGCTTGCGCGCAATGCCCGAGATCGTGCCACCCGTGCCCGCACTACAAAGCGCCCATGAGAACGTGGGCGCATGCTAGAGGATGCGCTTACCTCAGCACGACCATGTCGATCTTGTTGTCGCATTGGTACAAGAGCTCTTCGGCCGTCACGTGGTAGTGCGCGTTCGGGTTGGAGGGGTTGGTGTACTGTCAGTGCTTGTGTGTGAGAACCGAACCAAGCACGAGTCAAATAGTACCTGGTCGAGAATGTGCGAGTTCTTGATCTCTGCGTTCAAGCGCTTAGCGACACCAATGTGGCTCTCGGGCGAGTCCCAAGCAGCTTCGGTCGGCGTGCGAATGATCTCGGCGCCGAGCGCCTTGAGCACGTTGACCTTCTCCGCGCTCATCTTCTCAGGGAGCGTGATGATGCAGCGGTAGCCCTTGATGGCCGCAGCCAGCGCCAAGCCAATGCCTAAGCCATGGATAACATTGGGCGTCGTGAGGTGCATCGCCACAGTACCCGTGTTGCCCGACGTCGGCTCGATCAGCGTGTCGCCCGGCTTGATGCGGCCGCTAGCTTCGGCGTCTTCGACCATTTGGCGGCCAATGCGATCTTTGACCTGTGCATATCCAGCATAAGAACACGCATGGCGCAGCGTGTATTCCTGCACGCACCGAGCCACCGGCGTTGAAGAACTCGCACTTGGCAAGGAGCTCGCACTTGAGACCGGCCTTCTTGCCGATCTTGTTGATGCGCACCAAGGGCGTGTCACCGACGTGGCGCTACGCCATGCGCCATGAGCCATGCATGTCATCCGCGTCTTTCACCGTACGAGGATCGTCGGGAGGATCGCCGGGCGATCGAACGGCTTCTGGTACGTCGCGGTCATAATTGCAAATGATCTTGTGTGGTGCACCTGCTTTTGTATCCGCTTCTCCGAACCCGTATCCGGATACCACGCGGCCCACTTCAACGTGCCCGGATCCTTCCTGGCTTCAGCGGTAGCCTTCGGGCTCGCTGCCGTCGCCGCCGCGTCGACCTCCAAGGCCCATCCTTGCGCGTCGCGTGGCGAGCCAATGCAAGTACGTGCGTGGAATGAAGACGGGCGTCTAGTAGGTACAGCGTGCACAGCACAGCATTACCGTGCCTCCAGCAGTGTCCCATGGGAATCTTAGATAAGAACTGGGCCATCTTATCTAACTGGAGCAACAAGCTCAACCACGCGGCAGGACCATGATGGGCCAACGCTGCACGACCCTGCGACGTGGTGTGGTATGTGTACGCTGTGGCTACTACTGTACGCTTGCAGCGGATCCCAGTCGCACCATGTCCTGTGGCCCACGCTGCGATATGCGCTCTATCAGCTGCGCCCTTGCAGCCGGTCCACCACCGCCTTGCCGGCGCCGGTCCGCTCGCCGTCGGTCCCACGCCCTAAGTGGCAGCCTGTCGCCGATACTCTGCATGTGGTCGTACGATGCATACCTGTCCATCGCCATGTCGTCGTCGTCGTTGCCGTGTCGAGCGCGATGGCGTCGGCTCGGCGCACGTGCCAGTAAAGCACCTACGCGACGCCTGTTACCAACGCGAGCAATACAATAAATTTCGTGGCGGTAGACTTGGGATTTGTAGGCGGATTTGAGCCAACGTAAAAGAAGACGGGAGTGGAGCCATCAACCAAGCAGCGTGTCGGCGACGCTTCTTATATGAAACGAAGGAGCACAGGAGAAGAGTCCGACGTCAGCCGCGCCACGAAGCCTCGCCTCATGACCGCCATGCCCGACCCGACTACGTACGATGAAGAAGACGAGACGTCGCCGCCGTCGCCCGTCGAGAAGGACTCGGGCGCGCCCGAGAACGAAGACGACCTCGTCGACTTTGTCGTGCTCGGCGCCGACGAGCTGCCAGCACCGTCAACCAACTTTACGTGGAGCCCGAGCCTCATGTCGGCGTCGTGGCAGGACAAGTACGCGGCCGTCGAGACGCTGCGGCAAACCATCAAGTACGACCCTGCGTTCATCCAAAGCGACGACGCACACATGTACGACGACGCCGATTCTGCACGAGAGGAATGCTCACCACGCGATATTAGCATCGATGCCACCAAGGACCTCGTCGTGCCCAGCGCACTCGACTTGCGCTCGACGCTGGCGCGCAACGCGCTCCTCTGCCTCGGCGAGCTCATCCAGTGCACGCCGCAGTCGGCGCTCGTGCCCGTCGTGATCCCGGCCCTGCTCTACCGGTCCGTCACGGACAAGAAATTCATGCAAAGCGTCGCGACCACGGTGCGCCTGTCTCGTTGCGCTCGCTGCGAACGCTCTATTCGCGTGTAGGCGCTGGAGCACACGGTGCGCTGCTGCGACCCGCTCGACGTGCTGGCGCAGCTCTTGCCGTTCTCGACCGACAAGAACGCGATGCTGGTGACCAAGGTAGGCCGATCGCAACCGGTTCAACCGTGCCATTGCGGTCTGTAGGCCGGAACGTACGTGGAACAGTGCCTGCTCAAGAGCGTTGCGCAGCCATGGGAAGCTGCGCAGCTGCACGCGTGGATCACGCCACTTGCGAACTTTCTCAACTGCCGCGACGTCCACGGCAAGCCCGCGGCGAAGCGCTGCCTCATGCTCCTCCGCAAGACGTTTGGGGTCCGTCATTCCGTCTTCTTCTTCGTTCTCCCATGCGACGAGTGTGTGTAGGATGCAGCATTTGAAGCCGCCGTCGACGCGCAGCTCAGTGGTATCACACGCGCCGATGTGCTCAAGGTCTCGACGGCCGTCGCACGAAGCTCGAGCATTGTACGGCCGCACCCGGGACAGAAGAAGGGCGGTAAACTCAGCAGTCGGTCGGGCCCGAGTCTAAAGGAGCGGCTGCTCCTGCAGCAGCAGCAAAATCAGGCAGCAAAAACAGCGCCAGCGTTGCTTTAACGACACGTCGTGCTCGTACAAACTGCTTGGTTGTCGTGTTAGTGTGGCACAAAGGCGGTCGGGTCGAGCGCAGCGATCGCGAGCGCGTGGGAGGGTGTACCGACGATCTCGACGCCCAAGACCGCGCCACTGAACGCCCGCAGCTCCAACGATGGACTGTAAAACGAGTCGAGAGAGAGCTGCAAGACGAGCGCAGTGGGCGACGACGAGAGCACGGTGGCGGACGCCTTGGCGAGGCCAGCGAGGAGGCGTGGTATCTGTGCGGGCGCGTCCGACGCGGGCGAAATCGTCCCGACGTCCATGCCGCCCACAGACAACGAGACGTTGTCATTTGGGCTCGGAATCGTCACCGAGAGCACGAGCGGTGACGAGACAAGCGTCATTTGAAGCCCGAGGTCCAAGCGTGCCGTCACGGGACAGCCGGCGACGTCACGGGCCGTCATTGTCGCGAGGTACGCCCGCATGCCATGGGGATGGACAGCCACGGCCGTCGTAAACGCCTCGTGCCAATTGAACGGAAGTGACAAGGTGGATCCGGGAGGCTGCCACGTCATGGCCTCGGTGGCCAAAGCGATCGCCGATGCCACTTGGCGCAGGAGCTCCGGACAGCTGCCGATGCAGTCGCCGACCGGGCGCTGCAACGCGACACACGTGCCTACATGCCGTCAACACAATGAAAGCAGACGACGATGACGCACGGTTGGGTGTTGCGGCGGCGGTCGTCGGTACGGTGGGCGAAACAAACGCGTGGTATGGAAACCCGAACCGCGCCTTGTCGAGCGGTGCGACATAGACCAGCAGGCGCGGCCACTGCACCACGGACGATGCCGTCACAGACAGCGACGGCAGGTGACGTGTCGCATAGTTGGCAAACACAACAAAGAGTGTTGTTGCGCTGCTCTTCAAAGTCGACAATGTGATGTCTGCGATCGGTGCGAAGAACGCCGAGAGGACGTCCGAGGCATTGGTCGGTGATATGGTCAGCGTGGCTGGCGTCGGTCCATCGACATGAAGCGTGCTCCCCGACGCGATGTCCAGAGACTGGACTCCGACGACGCTCCGGAGCGCAAGCATGCGACCGCGCACAATGTCGCTCAAGCTCGTCACGATCGGGCAGTCGTGCGCGAGCCGGCAGTGCATGGCTTCCAAGAAGAGACGGGTGTCGGCGCCGGTTGCATTCTCGACACACGCCGTGAGCGCGTTGGTGACGTCGATAGAGGCAAACAGTTCTCGCGTCGAGAGCTGCGCGGCCGACAGATGAACCGCCGTCTCCTTGCACACAAGCAGAGGGGCACAGCCATCTCGCTTTAGACAGTTGGCGGCACAGGCGGCACAGAGCGCTACGGGCGTCGTTAGCCAGGAAGTAGAGATCGGGATCTTGTACGCGTCTCGAGCACGACCTCGCTGTCGCTGGGCGAAATCGGATCGAGCGTCTGCGTGGCCATCGACGTCCTTGCGATCGTCGCCGGCGCCGAGCTCGACACGACCACCGGCAACGGGAGCGGACCACGCATCATTGGTGAAAACGTCAAGTTGATGTGCATACCTAAGTCGTTCACCCTCGTCGTCACATCCACAAAGACGCTGGGTGCGTGTGCTGCGAGCGCCGTTGCGAGGGCACCTGGCACGGACAAGAGCCCGGCCGTCGAGAGGTTGAAGACCCCAAACGAGTAAGCCAAGAGCGTCGAAAATTCTGTCGTCGTGTTGGCGACCCAGAGACTGTGCGTCTCGTCGCTGCTGGCGCGAAGCTGCGCGCCGTGCAATGGACACGCGAACGCGGCGAGGCACGAGTAGTACTTGGCCAAGACCACATCGGATGGCTGCTGCTGGAAGACCGATGAAGCGTTCGTCGCGCCGGTTGCAATGTGGGCTTGCAGCTGCGCCATCAAGGCGGCGTTGGCTTGGTAGCACGCTGGACGGGTATAGCACGTAGCGCGGTAGTAGCGCTGGCACTGATCACACGCTACATATGCCGTCAAGATCATTTCAGGAGCGTCGCTCTGCAATACCAGTGGCTGGCGTGGCCGCACACGTCGTCGACGTCGCCGGTACCGACGATGCAGCACTCCAGGGTGCTGTCGAGCCTGGGTACGATGCGAGGTATGCCAGCGACTGCGCGCCCAGCGAGCAGAACGCAGGCTCCGCCCCGTACTGCGCCATCACAGTCGCCCAGGCCATTGTCGCCTCGAGCTGGCTCATCACGTACCGAAGCTGGAACGTGTGCGTCAGTGCCAGCTCGAACGTCGTCGTCGCAGCCGACGAGGCCACAACTCGGACGCTGTCGAGCGGGCGAGAGAAGAAGGCCGCGATCGCAATGCGCTGGATGGTCGCGGCGAGCGGCGCCAGGGTATACGGACACTGGAGCTGCAGATACGGGTACCACTCGGTCTTGGACAGAGTCGGCAGCGGCGTGAGCGAGATGTCCTGCGTCGCTTGGAGCGCTTGTGCATTGGAGAGAATTGAGGCGGCGTCGCCAGCGACGACAAAGTTGATGGAGTTGCCGGGCGATCTCGAGAGCATCTCGGAAGCGTCTTGCGGCAGCGTCGTGAGCGTCAGGTCCGCAAAGACGGCAAACGAAGCGTTCAAACTGGGTTCGAGCTCGCTGAGAAGACCATCGATGACGGGTGAGATCGAACTGAGCGTCATTGCGTCTGCAATTCGGTAGGCGACGATGTAGGCCGAGAGCGGCGGACTGGAAGCGCTCAAAAGCGGGTACGCTGCCGTTGGATTGAGCTGCGGATACGCCGGCCACGCCGCGGCGCTATCCAACAATGAGCTGCTGTGTCGTGCATGGCATGGCACCTCTGCGGCAAGGCGCCGTCGCCGTTGCTGTCGGGCGTCTGCGTCACAAGCGACAGACGCCATGTCGAAGCTGTAAGCAGCGTCTGCAGCGGGCGTGCGAGCGCCGACGCGACGCTATCAAAGGTACTGGGCGTCACCTACGATCATTGTGAGACCTTGGTTGCTAATCATGAGGACAAAAGTTGTCCTACCCCGTGGATCGCGATGGGCACGATGGTCGCAGCGCCGTTGTAGACGTCGTACGGCGCTTGCATCGCGGTCGGGGCAAAGACGGTGGTGGTCGAGACATTGAGCAGCTGCGCGACGGCGTGTGCGACGGCCATGCGATGCCACAAGCCATGCGCCGACCCGCGCAGTACAATGTACCATTGCACGTACCCCGCACTTCTCGGCCCCGTGGGCTCGGCCTCACCGCGCAACACCGGTGCGGCCAGTAGCTACATGATCGAGTGACGCAGCGTAAAAACCACATGGTAGTACCTGGAACGGCGTCGCCTGGTCGAGAAGCTGGAAGCGCCGATGGAGCGTGCCCAGCGACGTGCGCACGCCCGTCCAGACCAGTGACGCGTCCAAGCCGGTTGCAAGGGCCGACCGGTTGGCGCCCATGGGCACGTGAAAGCAGAAATCCAATACCACTTTGCCCTTTGCGCTGAGCGATGACGCTGCCACGTCCACACGCCGGAGACGGACGCGCGTCTTGACGTTGGACTGCGCGAGGAACGCTATGAGCGCGTGCGAGACATTGGGTTGTGCGAGCTGCAGCTGTCGAGGGACACGGCTTGGGCGACGCGCAGCGATGCTTGGACGCACGGCGGCGGGCTGCGTCCATCGGTCGCCGGGCCTTGCACAACGAGGAGCGCAGCGCAGCCGCCGCCGACGAGGAGCAATAGCACCAGCCGCCAATCCGTGTCGGGTCATCGATATCCGAAATGCAACATTGAGAAACGACCGGCGAAACCACAGAAGGTTTGCCCTTGGACGACGACGAGAGGATGAGTGCGACCCGCGGTAGCTTCATGTCGAGCTTCGACTTGACGCGCGAGGAAGAGGCCGAGCTCCACGAACATGCGCGGTCGAAAGCGCCCGAGCTCATTGCGCTCGCGTTGGACGAGACGAGCTACGAGTGGACAAAGACCAAGTACGGCGTGAGCGTGACCGAAGCCACCCACGGGTCGCAGCACCTCGTGCGCAGCTCGGCGGTCGTGCACGCGTCCGTCGCGACGCTCCTCGCGCTTCTGGAAAGCTCCGTCATGCACGCGTACCGCAACACGCTGCGGACCATGTACCAGCAGACGTTTGCCGACGCGTCGGTGCTGTACCACAACCAGCTCAACGCGACCGAGTCGGTGGGCGTCCAGTGGCTGGCCTTCCGGTGCGGCAACCCGCTTTTGCTGGATGTGGACCTGTGCCTTGTTGAGTACATGCAGCACAGCGCGTCGTCGGCATCGCCGCTCGACAACCAGCGAGAAGGCCATGGCCTCGGCCCCGAGCACTGCCTCGGGTACGTGTGGTGATCGATACATCCGCGACGAGCCCTATAGGTACAAGCTTCTCGAGTCGATTCAAACCAAGCACTGCCCGTCGCTCCTGGAGACGCACCGGCTCGAGCGCATCGTGCTACCCCTCGGCGGGTTCGTCTTCTTCCCGACCGCGCACGCCGACCAGACGCGCGTTGTCTTTACCGCGGGGCTCTTTCAGCCGCCGGCGACGTTGCGCCGGACCGCGAACCGTCGGCTGCTGCTCTTGCTGGCCGCCGCGCTCCCGCGTCTCCAGCACGCAGTGAACGCGACGCGGCTCGGCGCAGCGTTGGCGTCGCGCGTGCCATGGGTGCCGGACGCCGCCGAGACGACGTGCAAAATCTGCGCGCGCTTCTTCTCGCACGTGCGCCGCAAGCACCACTGCCGTGCGTGCGGCCACCTCATCTGCAAGCAGTGCTCTGTGTTTCAAGACCTCGCGCTGCCGTCGACGGGGCTCACGACGATTCGCGTCTGTGCACCGTGCGCCGCGCCACCGCCAGCACTATCAGCGCCGCGTCCGAGGGCCAAGACGACGCCGCCCCAGCTCGTGCTGGAGCTAGAGACACCCAAGAAAGGCGGCAGTGGCGTCGTCGAGCGCCGGTACTTTGGCAAGCACGGTATTCACCTCCACAGTCCGACGACGACAACCCAGCCGAGTCCGACGCCACCGCAGAGTCCGATCACGTTCCTGTCGACGCCGACCCGGCTCAAGACGCTGCCGTCCAGCCGTCCGGATCGCACGGCAACGCTGCAGGCGCTCTGCGACCTTGCGAGCACGACGCTCCAGTGCAAGTTTGCCGGCTTGTCGCTGCGGCACGGCGCCGTGCTCCAGCACTACCTCAAGGTCAACATGAAGGGCAAGCTCCTCTCGGTGCCGAGTCAAATGGGCATTTGCAGCCCGGTCCTGAGCATCGGTAGCCCGCTCATCGTGCTCGACACCAAGACGGAAGGCGGGCCCATCGAGTGGGCCAAGCTGCCGATCGTGGCCGGGCCCCAGCGGGCGCGCTTCTACGCCGGCGCACCGCTCATCGCGGGCAATGGGGATGTGATCGGTGCCATCTGCGTCTTTGACCCTGCGCCGCGGACCTCGATTCCGCCCAACCAGCGACGCATCATGCAAAACCTTGCCGAGCTCACGCTCGCGTCGCTCGACCCCAAGCAGGTGCGCGTCGACGCGCGCAATGAAGACTCGAGCGACCTCGAGGCGCAGCTGTGGCAGATGTTGCTAAAAGCACACAACACGCAGCGCCAAGTCGTCGAACACAACCAGGCGAACGACGCCCACGCGTCACCGGCCATCCTCGGCGTCTAAGTGTATCACTGGTTGAATACTACATGGTTCATATTGTACTACAGCGTCGCTTGATCGCTTGAGAGATCAACAGCATCGCTCGCGATCTGTAGCCGTCTCCAACACTGTGCTCGTTGCCGTCCAAGTCACGCCTCTCTGTAACGCTAATGTCACCACGGTGACTACTAGTGCATGGTCGCGAGCATCGTCTTGCCAAGGTCAAGCCGTGGTTTTGACTTTACGCAAACCCAATGCGATAGAATAGCATAGACAACGGCCTCCTAACGGATAGATGAAATGTTGCGTAATAGAGAGTTTGCGAAATTCGTGATTATACTATAAAATTATACTATACGAGATAGTATAATGAAGCAAGGCTTCTGCTTGGGCGTCTTCTACCTGCGCGTTGCTGCCAGGCGCCGTGCCCAACGGTCTATGCGTGTACAGGTAGACTGCAAGTACTGCATTGTGAGCTATGAGGTAGTCTGCTCGATGGTGGGCTGCTGTAGGTAGATAGATAGGTCGGTCGGCAAGCGTCGCTCAGTGTGCGCGTCGCCGACAACGCAAGGTGAGAAAGAGACTCGAAGCAAACTGTCATATTGTGCACAAAATGAGGTATACGCATAAATACTGCTAGGGACATGTCTCGATCAGCTTGCGTCAATCGCGCGGCCTGCCGGCTTGCGCAGCGCCTTGATGGACGCCGACGACGGCAGCGAGAGCCGCGGGGCCTTGCCCTTCGGTGGCGTCGACGGCCCCGTTTGGTTGCCAATGTCCATTTCCGGTCGAGCCTCGCGCTTGGTCACTTGGCGACCGGCCGCACCGAGCTCGCACTGGTTGACTTGGGTCGCGAACCGGAGCGAGCAGAGCGACTCGTCAATGCTGGCGTCCGTCGGACTCAGATTGACCATCATGAGCGTCTTGCCGTCGCCCGAGAGTGCAGGCTGCAGCACATACGTGAGCTTGCTGTTGCGGTACGGAATGTGGTTTTGCTTCTTGGCGATCGCACTAAAGACGTCGGCGAGCGAGCTCAGACTCTTGTTGATCGCTTGGGCTTCCTTGAGCCGGTCGCCGGTCGCGCCCGAGCGCGAGAGCCGCTCGCTCCCCGCGAGGTCCACCAGACTGAGGCTGCCGAGGAGCTCGACTTCGCTGCCGTCGTCGTCGCGCTTGCTGCCGCGCAAGTGCAGCGTAAAGATCGAGTGCGACCGCGACGACTCGGCGTTCATGTCGGTCTTCTCCACGGACCGGTTGCACGCCGCACGCTCCATGATGTCTTCAATCTGGTCGAGCCCGCGGCCGTTTGTGAGCGAAATTGGGTACCGAAGGAGACCGTCGACGTAATTTTGCCATTCTTGTCCGTGCGGATCGTGTACTTTTGGACCGACTCGGCGAGAAGATCTCGGATCGTCTCGTTGTAAATCTCCATGTACGTCACCTCGAGGGTGTACTCCCAGCCTTGGTCCAACAAGGTCGCGCAGCAGCCCATGATCTACCGAGCATATCGACATGAGCCTCTTGTACATAATGTTTCACCAAGGCAAAAATGTACGAGGTTCATCGAGCGCGGGATGATGCCACGCATCTCGGGGCGCCGGCCGCCTTGCATCTACACGACCATAAGCCTTTAAGAAGGAGGAGGATACAAAAGAGGATTTACCGTATACGTCTTGCCCGAGCCCGTTTGGCCGTACGCAAAAATGCACACGTGGTAGCCGTCAATGGCCGACTGGATAAAGTCCGAGACTTCGCCAAAGACGTCGTCCTGGCCATGCGTTTGGCCAAAGAGCTTGTCGAACGAGAAGCGCATGCTCGTCTTGGCCGTCGACGAAATAACCGACGTCTCTTCGTCGACGACCCAGCTCGTCTTGAGCTTTTCATAGTCGCCGTCCGACGGCAAGAACGGACGCAAGCGGACGTGCACGCGGACGTTGCCCCGCAGTTCTTGGATCGTGTTGTGCATTTGACGGCGCAAAATGTTGCCTACATATATATATATATATCCCCGTGTGCATATCAATGTATCAAGCTTGCAAACGACGAGTACCTTCGTGGACTTGGCGCTCGAGCTCGACGACCAGCGATGTCTGCGCCGCGAGCTGCGTCCGCGCCTCGAAAAAGTCTTCCGTGAGCTTCTTGAACTCCGAGTCGTCGACCGCCGACCGTGTGACGACGGTCGTCATCGGCGTCGCCGACGCGAGGGCCTCGCGCCGCGCAAATGGCTTCCGAGGTCGAGACCCGCGAGAGCACACGGTTTTCGGTCTGCAGCATGCGCATCTAGGGACACTTTTAGTGTCATATTTCCTATGAATTTTTGTTACCTCTTCGTCGGCGACCGAATGCATCTTCTTCTCGTAAGCCGCCTTCATCTCTTGGAGCCGCGCTTCGCAGCCCGTTTGCACGGCCACCATTTGCGCGTACAAGGCCGTGTTGTCGGACGCGAGCTGATCTTGGGCCAGCTGGAAATGCTCCCGGCGCGACTTTTCCTCGGCCAGCGACGCCTACCCAACGCAAATATATTTTGTCGGACGTCGCCGCGTGGATCGAAGCGTGTACCTTGAGCGACGTGACTTGGTCGGTCCACGCATGGCGCTCGGCATCGACCTCGGCGAGCTTGGCCTCGAGCGACAAGACCGCCTCGTGGAGGCCCGCCGTGTCCTTCTCCTTGGACGCGACGACCTCGTTGGCCTTGGCGAGCTGCGACGAGACGTGCACGATCTCTTCGGTGAGGCGCCGGTTCTCCTTGATCATGTCGGTGGACTTTTGCCAAACGACTTGGCCGTCGTGTTCTCTTCGTCCTGGAGGCGCCACTTTTCCTGGAGGTCCGAGAGCTCCTTCTTGACGGCCGTGTGGTCGATCTGGAGCTGCGTCCATTGCAGCTCGAGCTGCGTCTTCTCCGATTCCAGCGCCTTGCGCTGACTCGCTTGCGTCGCGACCGTCGCCCACGCGTCGTGCGTCACTTTCGAGACTTGCGCCGTGTAGTGGTCGCGGAGCTGCGCCAAGTGGAGCTCGTGTGCCTTTTCTTTCTCGAGCCACTGCGCTTGGTACTTGGCCACGATGTTTTGCGTGTTGCGCTCCATGGCCGTGCGTACAAACTCTTGCATCGACGAGTCGAGCGTCTTGATGACCGGGTCGTTCTCGTCGTGGTCGAGCACGGAGGGCGTCGAGGAGGAGGAGGCTTCGGGGCCGCTCGGCTCGCCGGCTTTGGGCTCGTCCTGCCGCAGCGCCGCAAAGGCCTGCGCGGCCTCGGCGTGGACGTTGGTCAAATCCCGCTCGATGGTCTGGCACGTCGACGCAAACGCCTCTTTCTGCATGTGCAGGTCGCGGAGCCGGCATTTGAGGCGGCGAATGTACTTGTCCTGGGACTCGATGCGCACTTTAAGGTCCATCGAGCGCGGGACGACCGATGCGAGCGCCTCCTCGATCTCCTTCTCGGTCGTAAAGATCGTCTTGTACGCGTGCCGGACCGTGTTCGCATCAAGCGAGTCGTTGCCCGAGCTCGAGAAGGCGCGCGTGAGCACGGGCGGCGACGGCAAGGGCGCAGGCGTCGGCGGTGGCAACACGGTCGGCGGCGGCGGCGGCTCCGTGAGCACGACGCTCGGTGGCACGAGACGCGACGGAAGGCTCAGCCGCGGCTGGCGCGCACTGGGTGTCTTGGCCGGCGCAGGCTCTTTCGAGAAGGCGAGGTCGACCGCCGCCGCGATGGACCCGCGCTTGACCGCGGCAGCCGAGGACGTGGCGCCCGAGCCTTTAGGAGACGCTTTAGTCATCGTGCGAGCACGGACAGAGGCACTACGAGGAACGGCAGCCGGCAAGGACGAGGGCGGCGTCGCGCGGGTCGCGGCGGCAGGTGGCGCGATGGCCGCGATGGCTGTCGGCGCGCGCAGCAGTGACGCGCGTGTGGCGCCTACAGGAAGCGACTGGCGCTGCTCGCGCGTCTTGGTCGATGCTGTGGTCGAGGCCGCGGCCGCCCGCGCCGTCGTGGTGCTAGCGCGCGACCGCGACGCGTTCGTGTCGCGCACGGGAATCGCCGACGACGCGCCGCGGGCGACCGTCCCGATGCGGCTCGTGGTCTTGGTCGTTCGCTTGGGCGGCTCGGCGGCTTTGGGCGACTGCTTCACGTCGTCGGTCGTCGACGACATGGCGAAGCTGTCGTCCGTGGCCCACGAGATCTCCGAGTACTCGGACGTCGTATCGGAGAAGTCGAGTGGCTTGCACAGGCCCGGCTCGGCCATGCTGCGTGGAGGAGGAAGGGTTGCGGCCAGCGCGTCTGCATCACCAATGGACGCGCGTCGACGCAGGATCGTCGCGATCGAGACGCGGGTCGCGCCTTCCAGCAGCGCCTCGGTCATCGCCTTGTCTTCTTCGGTGCCCTGTCCTTGGCCTTGCAGCGTCGCGAGCGTCAAGTGCACTTCGCGGTCGAGGTCGTCATCGCCGTGCCCATCCCCCATGCTACTCGCGGGTAGTGCGTAAGTGGTCGTCCGAAGCGAGCGAGCCGTGTGGCGTGCGATGCGTTTCTCACACGAACCACCACTGGCGAAGTGGAAGAAGGCCCTTCGCCAGTATGTACCGTGTACCAGCTGCTCCAACGAAATAGCTTGGTTTTTGTATGCTCCTTGCCCGAATTATCCCACCGTGTCTTCTGGGCCCAATCAGCTCGAGTGCACTTGGGTGCGTGCAAGCGGATCGATCGCCGCGGACGCAGCAGCGTTACGATGCCATGGCCCAGACGCAGCCTGCATGAGTCGCGCTGGCGGTAGCATTAGCAGACCTGGCGGTAATCTCGGCGTCGGCGCAACAAAATTTCAATGCCGTTGCGACCAGCGATCTGGGTGGCGCCAGCAAAAGCTTCTCGCAACTGGTGCGAACAAGCCCAAGGTGGCGGCGATCTGCCACGCGAGCGAAGCAAACGGGTCAGTGGTGGGCTTGCTACACTGTACTGACGCAAGCATCAAGTCACGCTACATGTAGTACAAGTCGAGCTGAGATTGACTGGACAGGTCCTGCCTCGCATCTCGCCAGGAGGCGGCTGCTTGGTGGCAGACGAAGCAGAGGAAGATGGTGATGGTGACGTCGTCATGGCTCCTGCTTGCACTCTGAAGTTGCACTTTGCCCTACGAAATGCAAGTCCTTTCGTATCCGGATACATGCGCATGTCTCCAATGTGTCTCGATTGCCGCATTAAATATCAAGATAGTCTCAAACGCGCTTATTAGCAGGACCTGCTAGGTCGACCGGCGGCGGATGGTGTTGACAAGGATGTCGTCGCGAGGTGGGACGCCTCGACCGAGTGTACATATCTACTTGTACTGTACGACTCTACGTAGTGTATGTGTTTTGGTTTTGTGGGTTCGTTCCGACGACGACGTGACCAGCGACCAGTCCACTTGCCAGTCCACCTCTCTCTCGAGGCGCAGCAATGTCTGTAACCGAGCCAGACACGTCGCTTCGAGCCCGCAGAGCAGGTTGCTACCGAGCTCGGCCTAGTATGTGCATCGCACCGATCGAGCTCCGTGCCAAGCCAGCCCCAAGAGGCTCATTTTGACTTTGTTGTCCGCTGCTCTAGCACAGCCCAGCGCAGCGTCGCACCACGAGCCTTGCTGCGTCGTAGATCTCTCAAGGCCACCATCGTCACTGGCAATCCGTTTCGGCTGGCATCGCTGGTACCGGTATCCAGGACGATGACGGTGCCCGGTACGGTACATATAGACGTTGGGTGACAGTCTTGGGACTTGGCCGTCGCTTGCATTTTCCGGGCACCGATGGAAGGCAACGCTGCGTGGGCGCTCGCGGGCTTGACGACGGTCGCCGCGGCCGCGGCCGGCTACTACATTGCGACGCGCCATGGGCGCAAGCAGCATCGCGGCGGGTCGAATACCGGTCTCTCGGTAGACGTCGCGCGCTCATGGCATGGCCTCAGCACCTCGATCGTAGGGCCCCATGACGCACTTGGACCTGCACTTTGAGCACGCCGCCGCCTTCGTAGCATCGAGCAAGAAGCTCTCCAACGAAGACGTGGGTCTCTTCTGAAGCCGATCCCGACGCTGATCCTCGTCGAGTAGAAGCTCGTCTTGTACGCGTTCTTCAAGCAAGCAAGTATGGGCGATTGCAGCGCTCCCAAGCCGTCCGCGATCGACTTTGTGGCAAAAGCCAAATGGTGCGTCTTCTTATGCGTAGATCCGGGATGAACGATGCTCCATGAAGGGACGCATGGATGGGGCTTCTCGGCATGAGCCGCAACGAGGCCAAGAAGCGCTACATTGAAGTCGTCTCGTCGAGCTGCAACGGCTACTCGTTCGGCGCCCCGATCGCCGACGCCGTCGGTACGAGCGACGACGAGAGCGACGACGGCAGCAGTAGCAGCGGCGGCTTTTCCATGGGCGGCGCCGCCAGCCAAGTCGTCGTCGACAAGTGCGTCCATCCTCGTTCCTGTTACGATCATCATCGTCATCATCATCATCATAGGACGACCAAAGAATGGCAGGTTGTCGAGAACGCTTTTCATTACGCGAGCACGGGCAACGCCGACGAGGTGCAAGCGTTCTTGGCCGCCAACGAGCGTGCGATCGACGAGCAGGTATGAATAGTCGCACCAACCAACGGGTACGCATGCAGGAATCCACTCGACAGGACGACGATGGCCGGACGATGTTGCATTGGGCCGTGGACCGCGCGCAGACCGAGATGGCGGCATCGCTGCTCGCGCAGGGCGCCAACGTCAACGCGCAGGTGCGACACGAGCTGCCTCGCCACGTCTTCGCTTACCTCTGGGTAGGACAAAGACGGGATGACGCCTCTGCACTACGCAGTGCTGTGCGAACACTTGCCGCTCGTTGACCTCTTGGTAGACTTGCATGCTTTGATTTCTGTGCCCATGGGATGATGAGGTTGATGGGGCTCGGCACGGTGTAGATGACCCACGGAGCTGATATGAACCTCGGCGACGGAGACGGCGAGTCGGCCTATGCCAGCGCGTCCGCGTCGCTTCGCGCGCACCTCGAGGATTTGACCAAGTAGACGTTGGTAGAAGAAGCGCTTTCGTGGTATTACTACAAGCAGCTTTTATAAGAATGCGTCGACGACGGCACGACCTAATCTACTAGTACGTCGCGTGCCATCCTCGTCGCAGTTGCGTGGTAAGGTTTAAAGGAACGCATCGTCGTTCTGGTCGTCAATCTCCTCGGCGTACTTGATCAAGTCCACGTGGTGCACGACGGGCTTGTTGCGGGGCGAGAGACTGCGGAGCGACGTCATGGCGCGCGCGAAGAGCTGCTCGCGTTCATGCAACACATCCTTGGACATGATGTGCAAGCCCTTTCGTGAAAACGTCGTGTCCAACACCAGCGGCGGCAGCGTCATCAGGATCGGTTCTTCCTTGAGCGACACACTCGGCGAGAGGAGGCGGGGCGCGACAATGACGGGCAGGCATATGAACTTCGGGCTGCTTGGCGAGAGGCGTCGCCTCCTTCGTCTTCGTAGGTTCATGGTGCGCAGGCAGCACCTCGGACGCGACAGTCGACTGGGCGCGCACTCGGTGCAGGCCCATCGCGCCTTGCTGCAGGAAGACGGGTAGGAAGACAAGGCCAAGGCATGCCAGGAGGTACAGCTTCCAAGGCTCCATGCGCGCCAGCAAAGCGTGATGCCCGAGAGGCTAATGCAGCCGAGGATGACATGGGCGTTCGTGTGGAGGTAGGCCAGGGCGCGCTGGGCGGTCTTGGTCTCCGAGAGCTCGCGGAGCATCATCATCGTCTATGTGTATCGACGGCTTGAGCGCGGGCTGTAAAATGCAGAAATGTATTCAGACCAGCGTCGCAACCGCGTCGACCCGAAATTAGCACTGCGTTGACAATTCTCATTGGTGGAATACCTACCCATTTCAATCTTTTCTACCAATCGTATGTTGCCAAGAGGGCGCTCCCACACTTGTATAGAACGGTCTCCGCCTCTATTTTTGTCACCGAGCCGTTGGCACATAAGAAAAAATTAAAATATGATGACCTAAGATCTGGGTTATGCGGATGAAATTTTATTTTAAAAATGCGGCAACCAGATGGAGCCGGATACGAAGCGAACGCAGTTGCCATTACGTCACGCGTTCCAAACCGCGGTGGGATACTATTTTTCACGCTTTCCACATACGAAACGATACAAAAACCAAGTGCCCTGAATACCACCCTTGCGTGGGATATAGCAGCGTCCCGGGATTGGCCAGAGCCTCCGAGGAGACATGGGTGTGGCGGCTCGCAAGCCCGTCCGAGCGATTGGCGGCGATCGCATCATCCGGTGAACGGCCGAGAACCGAGGCGGCTTCTCATGGTCCAGCGCTTTGATGAATGGCTATCGGCACCGCAGTAATAGTATCGGCTACACCTCACCATGGTGCAAGCGTGCATGCAATCCACCAATCTTGCTGGACGCTGCACTATTGCGCATGGTTGTCGACCATCCATGCGCCATCCAGCGAAAAAGATTTAAAAAATTGGCAACAAGATCCTCTGCAACCATGATGGCATTCCTTCGAGGGAGCGGGTGCCGCTGACAGTTCGGTTGATTGCATACCAACATGGATGATTGCAGATCCAGTGCACTAGCAAGACGGTGTAATTATTGCCCGACTCTGCCATGATGGCAGCATCGAGTCTCTCCGTACACAGTACTCGGCGGCGACACTTTGGCGGCTGAGAGGCTTCGAATCATCGAACGAATTCACGCCATGTCCGATGACAGCGCGGCTCGCTGCATAAGCAGGCTCTCGCGTGCACTAGTAGGCCTCCGATTATCTCGCTTCGACGATTGTCAGAGCGACTCGAATGAGCGCCAATGTGTTGGGCGATCGTCGCGCTGCCACGTCGGTTGCGCGCACAGATCACCCCCGGCATCGATTACGTGCGCTTGAAGTTGTCGTTTTGTCCGGATAACGCAGCCCAGACTCAGAGGTCTGAGTATAGAAAACAACTGGCAGGTGTCTTTAATGCCGTTATTGGATTAAAAGAACGACAAATTGTGAAAAAGACACTATGGATTCATTAAAGACACCTGATACAGCATTGAAGAAGCCCGCATCTGAGAATTGGGCCCGTATTAAAATAATCAGAAATATTATTTGTGGACCATCTGGGGCCCAAGATTCAACCAACATGGCCAAGGCAAGCAGCAGCAGTATGGGGCCGGCGCGGGACCTCGTCGGGTACGGACGCGCGGGCTGCGACCCCAAGTGGCCTGGCGGCGCCAAGCTCGCAGTCCAGTTCGTCATCAACTTTGAGGAAGGCGGCGAGAACTGCATACTCGAAGGCGATGCAGGCTCCGAGCATCTCCTCTCTGACATCGTCGGCGCCGCCTCGTACGTCGGCGCCCGCCATATGAACATGGAGTCGCTTTACGAGTACGGCAGTCGCGCTGGCTTTTGGCGCCTTCATCGCATCTTCACGACGCGCCAGCTTCCCTGCACGGTCTTTGCGGTCGGCCGCGCCTTGGAGCAGCACCCGGAGGCAGTCGCCGCCATGGTCGACGCGCAGTGGGAAATCGCGTCGCATGGGCACCGCTGGATTGACTACCAAAACATCGACGAGGCCACAGAGCGCCAGCACATTGCGACGACGGTTGAGACGCACGTGCGCATGACGGGCAAGCGCCCCGTGGGCATCTACCAGGGCAAGCCGAACGTGCGCACGCGCCGCTTGGTCGTCGAAGAGGGCGGTACGAGGATGGCCCATCTGTTGCTGCCATCATGAGGAGGATGCGCTGATGTGTATGCCATAGGGTTCTTGTACGATGCGGACGCGTACAACGACGACCTGCCTTACTGGACGACCGCGTACGGGCGGCCGCACCTGATTGTACCCTACACGCTCAACAACAACGACATGAAGTTTGTGTCGCCGGGCGGATTCGCCAACAGCGATCAGTTCTTTGTCGCACTCAAGGACGCATTCGATACGCTCCTCGCCGAGGGTCGAAGTGGCGCCCCCAAAATGATGTCCATCGGTCTCCATTGCCGCATTGTACGTGCACGCTGCATGTTTCTACAGTTGTCAGAAGGTGTATGTGTAGGTGGGCTTGCCGGCGCGCACAGCCGGGCTGCTGCGTTTCCTCGACTACATGGAGCAATTCCGGAGCGAGATTTGGGTCTGCACGCGCGAAGCCATTGCGCTGCACTGGCACGCCCACCACGCGCCGCCCCGCAGTGCCAAGCTCTAAGCTATGAACATGCAAGATGAATGCAAAGTCTTGAGAGGTGCTATTGCGCTTTCTCCCCGACCTCGTCCAGAAGCAAGCATATTCTGGCGGCCGAAGATTGCAGATAATGATACCAAGCCCACGCTCGCCCTCTAGGACAGCCCCTGCGAGGCGAACAGGAGACTTGACTCGGTCGATGTCGACATCGCGCGGTAACTAGCGCGGCTACTGCAGCTCCCAGAAGCGGGCATGACGCGAAAGGCGGCACATACGACGCATAGAGAGCATCGATGTGGCGTGTGCACCATGGTCTTCTTGGCGTGCCTTGTCCGCACTTGCTCGGCAGGAGCTCTGTGAACCTTGACGTATGCACCATCTCCACCATGAGTGGACTGACAGCGATACCGACGCGTGGAGCTATGCAGGTTGGAGCTTGCGGTGGTTTGCTACAGCACTACCCAAGTACCTACCTCGATCAATAAAAAGCTCGGTACCCCACGGCGCACTCTGCATTGGTCTGCCTATAGAAGCATAGACCGTTGCGCGGTGCGCACAGCAGCAACGCGCAGGTATTAGACGGCCCCAGCGGAGGCTTTGCCCCCTCGTCTTCCCACCTGCGCACCTGCAATCGCCAATGGATGACAATCTCCCAGACCACTTTGTACAGAAACGAGTCCATCTGCAATGCAGGTCACCAATGGCAAACTTACCTCGCGTTGGAATCTGGAGTGCAGCAGCCATTCTGCTCGGATCGAGGCTCTATTCCAAGTGTTAGTGACACTCGCCCTGCTCGGTGCTCTGAACAAGAGGCTGCCACGAAGCATCGGCTTGTGCGGCGACGTCGCGCCATGGCTGATGGGCCTTTGTCTGGCTGGCTGCAGGTTATGCGCGCTGGCAAACGTGCGAGGACATTGTCGTCGATCCTAGAGTGGACACGTGACAAGCCGACTCGATCGTATGTGCCCAGGGCCGAAGGACCCACGCGTACGTCGAATAGGTTCCCGAGCAGCCAATTGCAGTCTCCTTCCACTGACCACCGAGGCTGCTTATCAGTGGTCGTAGCCACTGCGATGCTTGCGAAGTCGCGCTGGATATGAATGGGCATGTACCACACAATATCTGCCATGACATGCTCCAGGCTCCTGCCCATGGCTCCTGCCCGTGCGATGACATGCGAGCGACAGGCGGTGCGACAGCAATACACGGCGCCAGCGATGAGACGACGCAAGCTACCGCATTACACGGGCGGCCAGTGCAGGTAGCGACGACGGCTGCATTGCGCATTGCGACAGACCGCATGCCAGCAGCCAGCCACTGCCTGCTTCCAACAGCAAGCCAAACCAACGTCCATGCAGGTTCGTCGCTGGTTCGGGGTGGAATGATTGTCCTCCGGTTGAGGCTAGACACACGCAACAAAAGCGCGGTTATGGCGCCAGTCGGGTCAATGTGCGCGTTTGGCGAGTGAAACACGCAGCACCTTGATGGAAGACGTGCATGCGGATATAGAAAAGAACCATTGGCGCCAAGCCATGACCCACGGAGGGCGATTTTGCGTGCAGGATCCAGTAGGGTGCGTGAATTGAGCCACGTGGATTGTGATCATCCGGATGCATCCACATCATCCGGATTGGTACGTTTAAAAAAGCACATACAATAATAATGTTGTATCATGATGTTGTATACGGTTGTAATTAAATACCTGGTCGCCGACGACAAAAAAGGGTGTCGTCGTCGACAGTTTTGGTACAGCGCGAGCATGGAGGTCTTCGCCGAGCGCACGGTGGGCAAGGTCCGGAAGCTCCTCGGGAAGCGGGACAAGGACAAGGAGCTGCGCGAGAGCTGTGACGAAGTGCTCTCGCACCTCAAGGCGGGGACACCGAATCTGCCCGAAGAGACATGCGTCGGCCCGCTCTTCCTCGCGATCCTCTCCAAGCAGAGCAAGATCACGTGTCTCGCCATGGACTGCCTCGAGAAGATGATGGCCTTTGGCTACCTAAAAGGCGACCAGCCAATCTCGACGAGCCTTCAGGATCGCCTGCAGCGTGCGCTGCATCTCACGGACGAGACCATGAACACGACGCCGACGGGGCGCATGCTGCTCATCGACGCGGTCATCGAGGTCGTATGCAGCTGCAACGACCACTCAGAAAACGACGTTCAGCTGCAAGTGCTTAAGGCTGTGCTCACGGCGGTCGTGAGCCCAACATGCGAAGTCCACGAGCACTCGCTGCTCAAGGCCGTCCGCGCCGGGTACGCTTACCTCGCATGCTTGTCGTCATGTCGCCAACTGTATGTAGCTACCATATCTACCTCGTGAGCAAGAGCATCATCAACCAAACGGTCGCGAAAGGAACGCTGCAGCGCATGGTAACGACGGTCTTCCAGCGCATGGAGGCGGCGGCGACGGCCGAGCACCTCGCGACGCCCAAGCGGTCGCAGTCGATCGTCGCCCACACGCACACGGCCATGTATCCCTCGGTACCTATCCATGTTGCCATGTATCCATGTATCCAGATATGATGATGTAGGTCCAAGCGGCGTTTGGTTTCCAGTACAACTCGCGCCGACTGCAGTCGTCCAAGACGCTGGGCGAAGACCACGCCGTGCTCTTCCCAAGCGTGCTGCACAAGGACGCGTACCTCGTGTTCCGAGCGATCTGCCGCATCTCGATGCGGTTTGTTGTCGAAGACGCTGTCGGTGGCCACGTCTCGCCGTCGCAGCCGTCGGCCGGTATCCCACTGCCTCTCGTTGAGACCCGATGTAGAATGCGATCGCGCCTGTAGACGACCCATTTGCGCTCCAGAGCAAGATGATCTCGCTCGATTTGCTGCTTGCGATTATCAACCAAGCCGGCCCCACGTTTCGGCAGAACGAACGGTCGATTCTTCCATGATGATTACTACTGTTGACGCCGACGGATGTAGATTCCTTGTTGCGATCCGGTCGTACCTCTGCGTCTCGCTGCTGCAAAACTGCACGTCCATCTACACGCAGGTCGTCGAGCTCAGTCTCCGCGTCTTTGTCGTGCTTATCACGAATTTCAAAGCGCACCTCAAAGGTATCCAATATCTATCTATCCAAGTATTATCGATCCACGAATGTCTTGTAGGCGAGATTGAGGTCTTCATCACCAATATCTTTTTGACGATCCTCGACTCGGAGAACTCGACGTACGAACACAAGATGCTCGTGCTCGAGGTGCTCAACCACATTTGCGACGACCAGCTCATTCTGAGCGAAATCTTCCTCAACTACGACTGCGACTGGGAGTCCATCGACCTCTTCAAGCGCATTGTTCATGCGCTCGCCAAAGTGACGAAAATGACCAAGAAGGAAACGCCGACCACCAACGTGCGCCAGCTCAAGCTCCAGCAGCAAGAAGCTGCCCTTGTGCTCAAGGGCCTCGAGTGCCTCGCTGCGATCGTGCACTCGCTCAAGAAGGCGGCCAACTTTATCTCAGAGGCTGCGCCGCTCCGCGCGTCCGGTACACTGATACATTGATACTTTAGATGGGCTCGTCTTCCTGTCTTACAAACGGACTCGGGATGCTAGAAAACGACAACTCGGACAACGAAGAGAGCGCGGTGTGTGACGAGCCGATGGTGTCGTCGTCCCGCACGTCGCTTGTTGTCGAAGTTTTTGACAAGAAGAAGAAGCGCCAGGACCTCCTAAGCACGGGTAGCGATGACACTATGATGCACAAGGCACAGCGAACGACCTGCACCCTAGGCATTGTCAAGTTTAACGTCAAGGCGACCGATGGCATCAAATTCTGCATGGCGCACGACCTCATTGAGAAGAACAGCGCACGGGCCGTTGCGCAGTTCTTCCATGCGTACAACAGCCGCCTCGACAAGTTTCAGGTCTGATTCTTTTTGTTGTTTTGAAAGATTGATAGAAATAACACGTAGATTGGCGAGTACCTTGGCAAAGAGGCGCAGTACCAAAGCGGGTTTTGCGTCAAAGTACTGCACGAATTCGTCGATCAAATGGATTTCCACCACCTCAACGTCGACGACGCGATCCGCAAGTCTGTCTCGGACACCTTGTACAAATGACAACCTTTCCATATTAGGTACCTCGAAGCGTTTCGGTTGCCCGGCGAAGCGCAAAAGATCGATCGGATGATGGAAAAGTTTGCCGAGCGGTACCATCTCAACAACCCGGGCGTGTTTCCGTCGGCTGACACGGCGTTCATTTTGAGTTTCTCGATCATTATGCTCCAGACGGTCCGACTTCTTACGCTAGGAGGACGACCATTTCATGCCATTTCGTCGTAGGATCTGCACAATCCGTCGATTCCGGAAGAGAAGAAAATGTCACGCGACGGCTTTGTCCGCAACAACCGCGGTATCAACAACGGCGAGGACCTCCCGGCCGAGTACCTCGGTGGCATCTACGACCGGATCAAGAGCCTTCCGATCTCAATCAAGGAAGATATGGAGCGCGTGAAACTCAAGCGCGAGACGAGCTCGAGCTTCCCCATGTCGGCGTCGGTCCTCGACAAGCAGCGGCGTGAGGCGTACGGGAAGGAGCGCGAGGCCATGGTCAAGGCGTCCGAAGCCTACTTCAAGCGCAAAGTCGCGCCGACGGCGTCGCCGCTCTCGGACGACGACCGCGGCTTCCACGTCGTGCGCGACGATCGCAACAATGCGTACATTCGGCCCATGTTTGAGATTGTGTGGGCGCCCTTGCTTGCGTGCTGCAGCGTGCTCTTTGAGACGCTCGATGCGCCAGTCGCGATCCAGTACTGCCTCGACGGCTTCAAGCACGCTATCCACCTCAGCGCTCGGTATAAAAATGTAGTCTCGACGCAAGCTCAAAGAGGATGTAGGCTCGGCATGAGCTCGGAGCGGGACGCGTTCGTGTCGATTCTGGCCAACTTTACTGCCGTCCAGCACTCGGCGACGCGCGAGATCCGCGGCAAGCACATTGAAGCCATGAAGACATTGGTGGCAATTGCGGTCAAGGAAGGCAATTTCCTCGGCGACTCGTGGGTGCGCGCCATTGTATGTGTGTGGGTTGTCATCTTGACGGTGGACTCTGCTGTAGCGCGATGTGCTGCAAGCACTCTCCCACCTTGCCCGCCTCCAGCTGCACGCGCAAGGGCTTCAATGCGACACGCAGTTCTTTCCCGTGATCACATCGCCCGTGGCGCCGATGCCCCTCCCAAAGAAACTCTCTTCGTTCCAGACGGCGACGCTTCTTCTCAACAACCCGTTCACGCCCAGCCACAGCAATGGTAGCTTTAGCAGCAATGCGTCGCCCAAGCCGTTCAAGCCGCTGGTTGGTCATTTCTTTTTCTAAAGGCTATAAGGACGACGACGGAAATGTAGGCGCCGCCGACCGAAGACAACACGGTGGCTATGGAAGCCCGCAACGCCCAGCGGCTCATGGACCAAGTCGACGGCCTCGCGAGCGACCGCGTCTTTGCGAGCTCGGCGCTGCTCTCGGACGCAGCCGTCCAAGAGTTTGTGTTGGCGCTCTGCGTTGTGTCGCTGAGCGAGTGCCAAGGCCTCGCGGCCGTCGGCATCTCGGTGCGGGGCGCGGTGCTCTCTCTGCCCCGCGTCTTCTCGCTCCAGAAGCTCGTCGAAGTCGCCGATATGAACATGCACGTGCGGTCGCGCGTCGTCTGGGCCAACATGTGGAACGGTACACTATCAGATGTGCGTGCACGTCTGGATTCTGATCTCTGGTAGTGCTCTCGCGCCACTTTACGGCCATTGGGTGCCACGACAACCTCGGACTCGCCATGTACGCGATCGACTCGCTCAAGCAGCTCAGCATGAAGTTTCTCGAGAAGGACGAGCTCCGGGACTTTAACTTTCAGCGTCTCTTTTTGACGCCGTTCCAGATCATCATTTCCAACGCGATGGCAACCGAAGTCCGCGAACTCGTGCTCAGGTTTGGAAATCCGTGTGCCAATCATTGTGGAACTTGCGTGTGGCTGCGTGCACAATATGATTCTGGGCCGCGTCGAGCACATCAAGTCGGGCTGGAAGACCATCTGGGGCGTCCTTCGCGTCGCGGCCGAGTCGTACGATCGCTTCGAAGAGTCGGAAGACCGCGTCGTGCTCATGGGCTTCCGCATCGCCAAGATGATTCTAAACGACCATTTCGAGCGCGTCCTCGCCGTGCTTCAGGATGTTCTCGACACGCTCCTCCTCTTTGCGTCGGTCGGCAACGACGCGGCCGAGGCCGAGCGGCCCGACTTGCATGCCATGTGCTTGGAGTCGATTTCGCTTGTCGGTGTCTGTCTCGGGTATCGTGAGGTGCTGCCATGGCGCGCTGCTTCATGTATGTGTGTAGACACGTGGCATCGGGACACGTTATCGAGCACTTGGACGTGCTCTCGCCGCGCCACAGTCCGTCGTCGCACGAGCTCGAGTACACGGACCAGACGCAGCACACGCACGTGTGGCTACCAGCGCTGCACCCGCTCTTCGTGCTCGCAAGTGATCCGCGCCAGAGCATTCGGTACCTTGTCTTGCAAACGCGACAACCGATTGCAATGGGTATCTATCTAGGCACATGGCGCTCGACACGCTGTATGGGAGCTTGCATCGCCACGGCCATGTGATTGGCGCGAGTCTCTGGCACGTCATCTTCAAGACGATTCTGATCCCGCTCATGGAGCACATCCGGCGCATCGAGACGCACTCGTCGTCGGTCTTTAACCGCAAGACGTCCAAGAAGGCGCTGTTGGCGCTCGTGCATTTGTATGGGTCGTACTTCAAGGTCGTCGCCCACGTGCCCGAGATCGTGGTACGTTCGTCGTATTTTTTCGTTTGCAATAGTGCAACACGTGTAGCACCTTCTCGCGCACTGGCTCACGGACGAGCCCGAAGAGCAGCTTGCGTGCGCGGCGGCGATCGCACTCGAGCACCTTCTGCTCGAGCACGGACACCAATTTGACGACGAGATTTGGGACAGCCTCACGTTTTCGCTCACGTCGATTGCCAATCATTTGGTCCCGCACTGGTCTGTCATCCGCCGTGCGCACGTGGAATGAGTTGTCATCACACGCGCGTTGTTCATATAGGCTCTTTCCGCCGCCGACCGTCGCCGCAGAGAAGACGACGCCGCCTGCCGAGGCAACCATGTACCCGAGCGTGCGCGCGGCCTTGTTTCCGACGACGTGGACCATCACCAAGGCGCCGCCGCTCACGCACATGCTGGTGCTCCTCGAGCTCCAACGCATCCTCGGCAACGTCCTCGTGCACATGGCGTCGCTGCCACGGCCGTGTTTCGAGTCGCTCTTGGTATGCCAACCCTCGTCTTCTTCTCGGTCGAATATGGGATTGCACTAGGCCTGTCTTCTCGACACGTGTGTGGTCGCCCGCCGCGTCAACGACGCCGTGGACGTGCGCGAGGCGCTGTATGCACTCGAGTGGCGCTACGGCAGCCTCGCGTCGGGCGAGCTCCCGCATTTGCTGTCGCAAGAGATTGCAGGGACGCGCGAGTACTTGAAAGTGCTCGTGCACAATTTGGACGCGATGCGCGGGCCGTTTGCAGAGCTCGTGCAGCGCACGTTGGCCGAGTACTTGGCGTGGAGCCTCGAGAAGCCCGAGCCGACGTGGCTTAGCGTCGACCAGCACCAGCGGTCGTTTGGGTACGTCCCGCTCGTCGTCGACATGCTGCAGACGATTGCGACCTTTTCCGAAGACGAGGTACCTCATCTGACGCGGTCCATGGAACGTGATATGATGATGCGCGCGTAGATGCTGCGCCACTTGCCGTGGCTCTACCCGCAGCTCATCGAGCTCATTAGCGTGCAAAGCCTCGATGTCCGTCGGGCGCTCCGGGGCGTCTTTGGCTCGAGCATCCAGCTGCTTTTGCCACTGCACAGATAGAGGCTACGATGGCGACAAATGTATCACGTCTTCTGTGTGTATCGTTGTCGCTGCTACCGTAAAGCTACCCTACCCCCACGCTCTGCTTTTTTTCGCCTACCGGTATTTCTCAGTGGCCGGCGCCCAACTAGATAGAGGACAAGTCACTCCGGCCCACCCCCGTAGCATCGCAAAGCTTGTGCCTCGACTCGACGACGGGGTCGGTGCCTCGTTGCCGCATGCGAGGAGGGCTTGGTCGACGACGGTCCTAATGACCGAATATGCACGAGTACACTTCAAAAGGAATTGGATTTAACACCACGGGCGCATGCTATTAAATAAAAAAGGAAACGCGGTGCTTTACGCCGCGACCACCTCAACGTGGTCCGAGATTTCAATGTTGTCGTAGCCCTCGACGTCGAGGCGGTCTTCGGTCGTTTGCGGCGTGAGCTCTTTGAAAAGAAACGACTGGGCGACAATGTCGTGCTGGCGCGGGCTGCTCAGCTGGAGCGGCATCGCGACCGAGTACTTGACGTGGTTGCCCATCTTCTCGTGCTTGGCGACGAGCACAATGCCCACCATGACGAGGAGGAGCGCGCTCGGAAACATGATCCACTGCGCCATCGTGAACGAGTGCGCTTGCTGGAAAAACACAATGCCGCTAATGTTGCTCATGCCAATCCAGAACGCCTGGAAGACGGGAAACGTGCTCATCGTGTCGCCGGCCATCGTCGCCTTGTTGAGCGCATGCGTCTGCGTGAGGAGCGACGCGACCATGCCAGCCACGAGGATCCACGTGCCAATGTATCGAAACTGGTTCTCGCCTTCAAGACTCATAAAGATGAGCTCCATGACACACTTGGCCAGCAGCACCGACTGCGCGCCAATCGTGCCCGAGATCGCGGCCCAGTACAGAGGCAGGTGCTTGTCAATGACGAGCGTGTGCTTCTGCGACGTGAGAATCTTGGTCTCCTTGAGCAAGCCCTTCTCTTCGACGTCGCTCAGGACGGGCGACGGAAACGGCGAGATCGTGCTACCCTCGCTCGCCGTGTCGTTCTTGGTGGACGTCGCTTCTTCGGCCGACCGCACGCTGCTCTCGAGGTCGGCGAGCTCCTTCTTGCGCACTTCGTCCGTAATGTCGACGACGCGAAGGGCGGGCGATGTCGACCGGCGCACGCGCAGCATGAGCGACGCCACAAACACCGTCGTGCAGATCGCATACACGATAAAGCCCGGGGCTTGCATGAGCATAAAGAGCTCGTTGACCGTGTACTTGCCCTCTTCGGACGACGACAAGGCGAGCACGACGACGCCCGTCGAGACGAGCGCGACGCCAATCATGTCGGTGAAGTAGAGCTGCTGCTTGAGCCAAAAGCGAGCGATAAGGACGTTGGCGACGATCGTCGAGCCGCCGCCAAGCGAGGCCACGAGCGTCTGCGGCGCAAAACCAAGGGCAAAGAGGTCGCCGAGCGAGCCAAAGACAACGAGGAACATGCCGAGCCACCACACGGGGCGCTTCGTGTACGGCCGCTGGAGGTGCTTGGGACGCTCGTCCTCCTGCATGTGCGACCGCTTCTGGACGTTGACGCCGAGGTTCGAGCCGATGGCCGCGGCGATCGCGATCGTGGCGCCCAAGAAGTCGCTCTTCATCTCGGCAGCGCAAGTGTGTCAATGCGCCAGTTGCGTAAGTAACTTGACACGTCGAATGTGCTGTTTAAAAACTCAGCATGCCATTTTTGTTTTAAAATACGTTTTATATTACACCGGCATTGGGTAGAGGCCACCACGACATGACGCGCACGAAAAGCAAAAAAAGAATCGTGTTTCTCGGAATAAAAATACGCTCGGGTACCGACCAATCATACGCGAGCACGACCGGCTCCATGTGGGGGTTCGATGGGTCTGGCCCTTTTTATTTTTTCATTACATTTTAATCGATGGGCATGTTTGTATAGCAGCGCATGAAATGTGGTAAAAAAGAATATGCGTACAATCACTCTACCACGTGCGCGATATAAAATAACCAAGCACCGGATCTATTAATATCGCCATATTGCGTCGCAATATATCGGCGCGCCATACTCCAATCAAGATGGCGCGAGCCGATTATATTCCCCACGGAAAAAATATTCCTCTTGATCTGGCGTGATGGCCGGCTCAGATGGTGGGGTAGCAGGTTCTGGGTTCGTCACGGGAGATTCGCCGCACGCTTCTACTCGTCCGCCAATGCGCCCGACTCCGTACCTCGGCCGTTCGCTTCCGATCTCTGCACATCGAACGACGATCAGATCTCACCGTCGTCGCAGTCGACAGGTATGTTGTCGGTGCGCTCAAGTTCCTATCATCATTCATGGCCTTTCCACTCCGAGCGCCAGCTCGCCCTATCAGAGCCGCATCAGCTGCGCTTGAATGTGCGCGCTGAGATTGCGGGAGATTGCGCGCGTGGAAAATGTTCGCCACCATTCGCCCGTGTCAATGGATGGATCCATTGAGCCGGCGATCTCGTCGTCACTGACGCATTTGCAAACTGCAGGTGCTCACATTGTACATTGCGAAAGGCTCAAGTCGGATTAGAACTAACGACGAGCGGATCGACCCCGCAATAGCTGCCTGCGACGGTCATTGCATACACCGTCGCCGCAAAAAAAGACCGGAATCCTCGGCGTTGCAACCACACCAGAGGCGGACAAGGTGACCACGAGTAGTAGCAGTAGCTGCGACGGGAAAGAATACCTACCTGCCCGACGGTTCCTGGGGAAGTGAAACCCACTTGTGCATATTTTTATTGGATGCGAGAGTGCGCTCTCGTCTTCAATATCCTACAGTTTCGCTGCATTTGAATCGATATTGCTGCACAAGGTGCGCCGAAGATACGCTGCTCCGTGATGGCACGGCCACCCGTTTACCCTCGGGCGATGTAGTTCCTGGAGCTCGCATCCTGCGCTCCTATCCTATCCAGCTCCCGCGCTGGGAAGATTGAGTTGCAAACGGGCGGCATCCGGTTACGGTGGGGACCGTGCACAATCTATTGCCTGTTTTTGTATGGGCCGTCAGGCTCTCCGGATACGGTAGGGCTGCCAAAGTTGTTTCAACAGCCTCTGATCTGTGACCTTGCTCCTGGCGGCGACGAGCAATGGTACGGCGACCATCGCCGGCGATGGCCATGATGACCATGTCTACCTAGCTGCGCGAACGCGAGATGGAGCTGGCTCTGCAGCAGATCGTCTACGAAGAGCAGGCCAAGATGAAGGCATTGGGTACGCGTGAATATGATCCTCCTCCGTCATTGACGACCCGCAAATGCGCAGGCTTTGTGGAAGCGTTCATTGGCACGAACGAAGCAAAATGCAGCATCTTTCTCTCGTCGCAGTGGGAGCGCGTCGGGCGCCTCCTTCTCATCATCGTGAGCGGCAACGGGATCCAGCCTGGCATCTGGAGCCGCTCGTTGGTCATGGAGCCGCATGATACGAGCCGCCAGTACTACCGGTCTGGCTCCATGTACGCCAAGAACCTTCATCGATGTATGTGCTCATGTCCATCGCTCGCGTCCTCGTAGGCTACCGTACTTGCACAAGGCCATCTCGCTCGGGTACGGCGTCATTGTGACCAACCCGAGCACGAACATGGTCATTACCAACCAAAACGAAAAGATCCCGATCCCGGGCTCGAGCAACCCGGAGGAGCACGTGCGGTACGTCATCCTCGCCTACGCGCTTGCATGCCATCTCGCATCTCTAGCTACGTCTGGGAGGCTTTTGGCGCCCAAGCTCGCTGCCACCAAGTGTACATCGCTGCCTATGGCCGCGGCGGCGCGTTGGCCAAGCATCTCTTGACGACCCAGCCGTCCATGCGCCACAAGCTCGCGGCGATTGCCTTTATCGAATCGAGCCATCGGGTCGGCGGTGACGACCCCGACGACGTCCGCGCCATCATTAGCACCCGCGCGATCAACTGGCAGCGCTCGAAAGAAGACCCGGGCCGCCAGGTTCGTCTTGCCGCTTTTTCTGCGTCTCGATCCGCATCTCCATATCGGTGTAGCTTGCCGACTGCACGCAGCTCGGGTGCCTGAGCCTCTCGGCGGGCGAGCCCGAGTACGCCCGGCACTCGAACGAGCAACGGAGCACCAACACTGCGTGGACGATCGGTGCGAGCATGGAAACGGTGTTTGCATTCTTCGACAGCGCGCGTGGGTACGACCTCGCGGACGAGCAGCACTACATGGAGGCGATGCAGAACCACGTGCCGCAGCCGCCGCCGCCGGCCGAGCAAGGCTCGCACGAAGACGGCGACATGGTCATTGAGACCATCGTCGACCGCGACTCGCGCGTCACGAGTATCCGCTTGCGATGACACGGGCGGTGCGGATCGATTGATACATTGATAGGTCGGAGCATGGTCATTTCCAAGACGATGGGCGTCACGGACTTTGATTTGCTCAGCGTCGTCGGCAAAGGCGCGTACGGCAAGGTGTTTTTAGCCAAGAAGAAGGCCGGGCGCAATGCAGGCCGCGTGTACGCGATGAAGGTGCTTCGGAAAGACGATGTCTTCAAGAAGCAGCAGGTCGAACACACCAAGTCGGAGCAGCGCATCCTCAAGCACGTCGAGCACCCGTTCGTCGTCCATCTTCGGTATGCCCTCCTTCTCTGGCCCTTGTCACGCCATGTTTTCTTGCATTTTGCTTCCTTTTCGCGAATTTGTGCGAATTTTCGCAAATTTTCGCGATTTTTGGCGATTTTGGCGTTTTTTGCGATCGAATTGTGGCGACGGTTGATGCCATTTCTACCTAGGTATGCGTTCCAGTCCGACTACAAGCTGTACTTGGTGATGGACTATTACCACGGCGGGTCGCTCTTCGTGCACCTCAAGAAGCTCAAGCACTTTCCCGAGGCGCGCGCGCGCTTTTACGCGGCCGAGCTCGTGCTCGCCATCACGCATTTGCACAACTTGCACATCATGTACCGCGACCTCAAGCTGGAAAACATCTTGATGGACGCGGACGGGCACATTGCGATCACGGACTTTGGCTTGTCGAAGGAGGACGACGAGGGCTCGACCTTTGTGGGCACGCCCGAGTACCTCGCGCCGGAGCTCTTGAGCTCCCAGCGCACGGCCACGTCGTACGGCAAGTCGGTCGACTGGTGGAGCTACGGCGTCCTCGTCTACGAGATGATTCGCGGCCAAACGCCGTTCTACGACAAGAACCGCCGGACCATGTTTCAAAACATTTTGACGCGCGACCCGGACTTTTCGCCCGAGCTCTTTTCGCCGATCGCGACCCACTTTCTACAAAGCCTCCTCGTCAAGGACCCGACGCGGCGTCTCGGCTGCGGCCGCAACAGCGGTCCCATGGACATTATGCAGCACGAGTGGTTCCGCGGCATCGACTGGCAGGCGCTGTACGACCGGCGCTCCGAGCCGCCGTTCCGCCCGCACATTGCGCAGACCCAAGACGCGCTGCGGTACTTCTTATCCTACCTATTCCAGTGGATATCATCGATCCATGGATTCTTATGGATAGGTATGTACCGCCAGGCTTTCTGCAGCAAGAGGTCGCCGACTCGCCAGTCGTCACGTCGATGCTCGACAGCAACGCGCCGGGCCGCCACACGATGCACTTTGAAGACTTTAGCTACATGGGCAGCGACATTATGGGCTCGCGGCGGACATCGCTCTTCCGCGAAAGCGACTTCCGCATGGACCTGGGTACGTGCTTTTTGCTTGATGTCGTGCCAGCGACTGACGGCCTCCTAGACGACGACATGTGACCGCGCTGCTGGACTCGACACTGCCAGTAGTGAAAGCCGTTAAGATGAATGCACGTCACGGCTCGGGTCGGAGGTATTGTTGTCGTCGGATCGATGGACCGTAGCAAGAGCTGGGAGGCTGTGGTGACAGCACGTCGCAACGTGATCCGGACGACACAAGGTGGCGCATCTATCGCTGTCTTTGTCATGATCTGGCAGGTCGCGGACGAGATCGATGGACGATTTTCGTGCTTGCTTCTACTAGTAGAGTGGAGGAAGACAGCTTTTTTCTCTCAAGGCACTGTCCTCGCGATGCAACATACGATGGCCTTGGGTTGACAGTGCGAGATATTGCGTACGTCACTGGTATAATACCGTAGGGAGCTGTCACTTCATTTTTACGCCTACTTGTATTACCCAACCGACAGACGTATGACCCGAATGTCTCGGTCACTTGGCGATTTCATTCTTCTTGCAACGACGAGACCATGTCGCCGCCCAAGTCTGTCTACTACGCGTTCATGCAGCGGCACTTGACAGCGGTGACGCTCGTCGTGACGGCGCTCACGGTGAGTCTGCTCCTCCTCATGTCGTACGTCTTTGGTGCCGTCTCGTTCGACTGCAAGGACGGGGCCAACACCGCGCTCTTGCCGTCGCCGACCAACTGCTACGTGGGCACGACGCTCGGGTGGCTCGCCTCCGGCGTCTGGACCGCCTGCCTCGTCGCGCAGCTGCTCAAGGACGAGTTCTACTCCAAGTGCCGCGGCCTCAGCATCCTCTGGGCGTGGATGAACTTGACGGCGGCGTCGCTCAACGGCCTCGCTGTCTTTTACTGGGGCCTCCCGCTCTTTGTCCGCGCGGTCGGCGTTGCCATGCCGCTTCTCGAGTGCCTCGTGCTGCACCAGCTGTACCGTTTCCGCGCTTTTGACCGGACGCCGCCCGGCGCCTCTCTCTTGCCGCCGCCGCTCGACGCGTGTCGCCATGGCGATGTGGTCTTTACCCAGCGCATGTGGCATAGCGCGATCAGTCTCTACGTGGTCTTGATGACGCTCGGGGTTCTGAGCTATTGCCACATTTTGCCGATCGGCTTGCTACTCGAAGGTGGCATTTGGCTCGCGATTACGTTTTGGAGCTGCGAAGGCTTCTTGCAAATGCACGTCAACTGGACGATCGCGACGTGCGAAGGGCAGTCGTACTTTGCCTTGGGGTTGACGTTTTTCGGGAAATTGTGCGACTTTACGGTCCAAGCGACGCTCACGATGCCCGGACGGTACCTTCTCTTGGCATACTTTTCGACCGCTGCCGGCTTGCTCAACGTCGCCCAGTGCGTCTTTATGCTCTCGCAGCGTGCCACGTCATCGCGATGGCCAGCGTACGGGTTTTTGCTCGTTATTGCGCTGTACCTTACGGGCTTTATGACGTATGTGATGGTCGCCGCGCCCTTTCCAATTGATGCGGCGGCGCCGGACGCATGGGTGCACGCCGCAGCGCCACGCTGGGTTGCGCTTCTTGGTCCTCTTGTCGTGGCGCTCGCAGCGAGTGCGGGCTATGTCCTTGCGCGCTGCCGTGGCATTCGCCCGATTACGTTTGCGCCCGTCGAGTAAGCCCATCAAGATTCCTTAAACGTGGCTGCCAACTCTTCATCCACATCCAATGGGCCGGCGTTACGGTGAAAGCAAATCATTGCACTCGTTGTTGGCATGCGTGGTGGGTGTGGCGCTGCGTACGGAGACGGTTCCTTCCCGTGGTCGGCCCGACACGAAACAGTACAGAGCAGTACCTCGTTCGCGCCGACGACGAGACTCTGCAAAGGACGTGGGATCGACCTCGACATTCGCACTAATTACTGGACACTGCTAGACTCTGCTGTCGCAAAAGGCGCATAGTCGGTCGTAAACTTGATGGGGCGCTCGCTGTCGCTGAGCCAGACGTACGCCATGACGGCGATCGCCGAGAGGTGCACGGGCGTGAGCACGCGGCTCTTTTGCAGGAAAATTGACTGCCACAAGAACGCGTAGCTCATCGTGTTGGCGGCGGCCGCGACATGCGCCGTCGCGCGGTCGGGGCGGTTATGGGCCATGGCGTTCCCGGCGTAGTAGCAGTGGTGCCCCGTGAGGCCAACGAGACCTGCGAACGACGCCGTGTAGATGCGCGTGCTTGTTTGAAAGATCTTGGCCGGGTTGGGCTTGGTGATGACGTTGAGAACGCTGGAGGGCACGACGGCCTTGGACGCGAGGAAGCGCGGGAGCTCGCGTTCGTACTGCACCATGCCACCGAGGCCCCACGTGATGGCGGACCACCCTTCGAGGAGCTTGGCGACCATGTGCTCGTCCTTGTGGGCCATGGGAAGCGACGCCGCCACGTAGGCCGCGTACCAGTCCATGAAGCCCGATGCGACGATGATCGGATGGATGACCCGGAACATTGTGTGGGACGAGTTGTTGGGCGAGACAAGCGGCGGCGGCGGAGGCGGACTCGTCGTCATGGCGGTGGGATCGCAAACTGGTACCTCGCGACAATTGGTTAGAAAAAGGATGCTTTTTGGCCAATCGAAAGTGGCCGTTGTCGGCCTCTTGTGTAATATGACGTGGCATCGCCCTGCGCATCGCACGGTACCGGTACATCCTAATTGATTGACGTGGTCTTAATACGGCATCGATAGAGAGAGTTGCTGGCGCCTCGAGCTACTATTCGAGCGCAAGAGAGAGAGGTTGGCTAATAGGTCAACTACGTAAAGAGTACAGCTTTAACCACTGCATGTACCGCCCCACGGCAACGGTCTTCTTGAAAGCTACGTGCAAACACTGACGACCAAGGTACATGCATTGTATTTTGACGCCGTTGTTCAGTCTCGGCTTTGTCACTAACTTGGACAAGGCAATTCATGGTGGCCTCGTATCTCGTCCCGGCTGCAAGCGCGATGTAGAGCAACTTTGGCTAGTCCTGTAGGTGGGGGCGACGTTTACGTGAGCGCTGGAGCCCACACCAAGAATCCGTTCAGTCAGTCGTCCCGAGGAAATAAATATAGGTGTTAAAGTCCCAGTCGTGAGGCTCTCGTCGACGTTGGTAGTGTCATCGTCCGGTGTCGTGAGGCGCCAATCGCCTTTTGGGCCCAGACCTCGCCAGGTGACCAAGGAAGGATCAAGGCCCCCCTCACGACCTCCAAGATAGAAGGATTCCCTCGCTGGATGGACGCGTGCCGACCAAGAACCCGCGCAACGTGGCGTCCCGGCGGTGCATCGGTGTGAGTCTATGGCAACAACACTGCGGGAGAGGAAACTAGCGGTTTTACACACGTTAGTGCTGGAGTAAATGCGCGAAACGCGATGACGTATGGGTAGCTCGAGCAAGGCTCAAGCAGCTCGCTTGCACGTCACCCACGTTGCATCGGTTAGGACAGCCTCGGCTCCAGACGGCACTGTCTTCATATAGCAGCGTCCAAGAACCGTGCCTGGCGTCGGGTCTATGGCCCACGAGAACGCATTGCAGGTCGACGCTCTGGAGTTGCAGATATTGAAGCAGTCTTGCAAGTTGCCCGACGCATTGAACGTGTCGCGTCCAGCGTAGGTGGCGTGAGCGGTACACGTGTAGCTCGCGGGGTACATGGTCGCAGAGAGAAAGGTGGTGGCGTTGGTTGACAACGTCAGCGGAGATGGCTTCAACTCGCACGTACTGGCGGGCCACGATGAGGTGTTGAAGGCGACGGCATAGCACTTGGGCTCGACAGCACATAGCGTGGTGCACTCGTCGAGCAGCGTCACGTTAGGTACCGACTTGATGGTCTTTCCCGTGACAAGAGGGTTTTGAAGCACGAGCCATGACGCGGCGCGTGGTGCTTTGGCCGCGCTGGAGGCATTGCGCGGCGTCAACACGATGGCGACGTCCGGCGTGCGCTGGCAGAGGTTGAAGATGGCACCCGCGTCCGCGGGCGCGCAGGTGTACCCGGTGCCACAGTCAGCCTCTCCCGAGCAGACCTTGTATTGCTGCTGGACGTCCATCATGTGCTGCGGCGTCCGCTTGTGCAACGCGGCGACCAGCGAGAGAAAGGCGAGGCACGCGGTGCGCATGTTGCACGGGCAGTTCTTCTTGAAATGGTTTGATTGGCCCAGCCCACAATCCGCGCACGTTTGATTGGTCGTTGCAAACAATCCTGCACAACCTCGCAAAGTCGATGCAAACCAGTCCTGCTGGCAAACTTGATACCGGTACTCTGCAGTACGTAAAATTGATCGTAGAAAAGTGGCTTGGCTCGGCTCGAAATCTCAAGCCTGAGCCGACCCCAAATCGGCATGAGTCGAGCCGGCTTGAGTTGGCTTGTCAATATCCAGTGTACACTAAATTAATGCACTCGCGAATAAATGGGAAAATCGTATTAGCGTTAGTCTCAATGGCGGACCGACTTTATGTCAAGGTAGTATTGGACGACAATGTCCTCCTGCCCCTTGAGAATGTTCAATTCTTCGAGGAAGTCAGCGGGAAGCTTGAGACGACGTCTTTAGCAAAACTCGTACGAAAATGCTTGGAGCCGCGGCTTATCCAGCTCGGCTCGGCCTGACCTCGGGTCTGAGCCGGCTCGAAAAATGGAGCCTGAGCCAGTCACTTTTCGGCTCAAGCCGCGGCTTAGCCGTTGGAGCCGAGCCGCGGTGACCCCTATCCGCAACGGAACATGCAAGAGTGTGACAACTTGTAGACTGGCATGGTGACGGGGATGTGTTTGAGTTAACGTTACGTTATTGTACAAGTCCAACCTTACATATTGTTCAATTGAATGATTTCTTACAGTAGCAAGCTCAGTTATACATGGGTCTCACGCGCCAGTGGCCATCGATTACCGTCATCGAGACGATGAAGTCACTCATTTCTCGCCACAAATCTCGCTCGTCGGCGTCGTAGACGGAGGTGTCGGCGGGCCCGAGCGTGCTCAAGTAGCGCAATACCTTCTTACGGCCGCGACGGATTGCTGCTTCTTGGACCACCGACGTCCATCCAAAGCCACAGACGTTGTGCAAATGCTGGAGCATGGCGAGATGGCCGTAGGACGCTACGCGGATCATCATGCGCTCCGAGACGCGACGCGGCAGCTGCGTTGGTAAATGGATGGGAAACGCACCGCAAACGATTTCCAAGATGTCGAGGCGACCGCTGTGCGCGGTGGCCATGAGCAGCATGTGCAAGGTGATGTCGCTTTCATCGTCGTCCAACATGGGTGAACCGAGTTGCCAGCAGTGGTGGGAGAGTACGTACGCGACAACGTCGATGTGGTGCTTCAAGACAGCGTCCACGATCGATCGGCGGTTGCAGCGTTGGTCCAAACCCTCATGAAGGTAGCGCACGATGTGCAAGTGACCGTTCTCCACAGCGTTGTCAATAGCTCGAGGCGGCACCTCGTGGCCCCGGGCGACGAGCAGCTGAAGGATCTCGAGATGGCCTTGGCTCGCTGCCCAGTGCACCGCCGACCCTCGGACGTAGTCGCTCCACGAGCCGCCAAGATCACCATCTCGCGCCGGCAAAATCGCTCCTAGGCCACTATTCTCGTCGGCTGGGTCAGTCCACGTGTCGACGCCGCCCGTCGGTACGTCCAAGAGGTACGTCACCATCGGGAGGTGGCCCGTATACGCCGCAGTGGCCAAGGCGGCGTGGGTCCGCCAAAGTCCATAGACCTCGTGGAGCCAGCGCACGACGTCGTAGTGGCCACGGGCGGCGGCGAGTGCCATCGCGTCTTCGTCACAGCCGTCGCTCCGGTGCTTGTGCAGCCATTCGAGCACGTCCATGTGACCGCGGTAGGCCGCGTAGACGAGCGCTCGGCTCGATCCGACGCGAAGGCGGCTTTCGTGCAAAAGCTTCAGCGACGTCATGTCACCGTTCAACGCCGCGAGCTCCATCACGTTGCAGTGTTCCCATCGATCGAACGGACTACCACCATCGCGATATGACTCTAGGGAGACGGTCTCTCTTGGTGCATCCGGTGGGAGCCACTCGTCGTCACTGGGAGCCCGCGGGTTCTCTTGGTCGATGCAGCCAAGGACGTAGCGCAGCATCGCGTGGTCTTGTGTGGCGACAGCGAGCTCGAGCAACGGCTTGGTCATCTTCTTTAGGTACCCACATGTGTAGACGTGCTGCAGCGCCATCAGACCCGCTGTCTTCACGATTGTTTTGATTGCTGCGTCCGTCAGCTCTACGGTGGCTGCAACAAGGTCGACGGCCTCGAGATGGGTAGAGCCACAGACGCTGAGCGTCGTGTGCTCGCCATGTGGTACTTTGAATTGGAGTGACGGCTGAATGCCTTCGGTGCGCCGCTCGAGAAGAAATCGCACGATCGACGCATGACCGCGGACCGCTGCCGCCGTCGCCGCCACAATCGTACAGCCCTCGGTGCGCATCGAGTGCAGGAAAATGACAACGTCGTCGTGGCCATTCATGGCCGCACCGTCCATTGCCGCCGACGTGCACGCAGCACCTGCCTCGTGGAGCCATATCAAAAGCTCGAGGTCGCCCGACATGGCGACGAGGTCCATCATCTTTGCAGTGGCCAGCGCTGGAAACTGCGCCAATAAAAGACGCAAAATCGGACCTTGGGACGCAGCAGCAGTAAGCTCGAGCGTCGCCGCCGTGCACAACGAGGGGTCCCATCGCAGCCAGCGCTGGACGAGCGCCACGTCGCCTTCGACAATTGAGAGATGGAGCGCGAGAGCACGGTCGTAAACACGCGGTGAGACGAAGAGCGCGTGGTGAGAAAGCTTGGTCGATGGGTGTGGATACCGCTGGAGGTACGGCAACGACGCGAACCGGGCCGGGACGTTGGCGAGGTACCCCGTTTGGTTACAATTTGCAAACGACGAGCACGGCGTGAGGTCGACGGCGTCGGCGAGGCGCTGGATGATGGCCAAGTCTTCCGGTAGTCCTTCTTGATACGATGCGATCGCCACGAGGAGGTCGGGCGACTGGAGCACGGGTGAGGCCATCCTGGTCAATTGGCAAGTGGCGCTTCCCGCTGTGTTTCGACGCGAACACAGAGTGATGGTAGTGCTGTTGATTGTCACTCTGTTGCGTTTCACCGAATGAATATCCGGATAATGACGTTGGGCGGTTCTGCCATGCGCTCGGTGATGCGCGCGACGAGCATCATACTTTATCTCGTAGCAAAGGCGCTCGCTAGCTGATAAAGGAGCCATGGCTCACATTGCCTCGGTCTACAGTACCGATCGAAGCTCGGCCTATCAATACTAGTACCTAAAGTAGCATAACGTTAGACCAACCACGTCTAGCCGAGTGTCCAGCCGCGTGTTCGAAGCGGACGTCGTCCACTCGGCACCACAACTGCGCTGCTACCGAGCAGTTATTGCCAACCGAATAAACTTACGGAAAAGAAAAGCAATGCCTCAACCTCTTTTACGAGACCAGTACTGGGCAAAAGTGCACCCTTCGCTCGATCCGGCTGCATTGCGGGTAAGCTGACCCAGTTTCGCCGGCTCCGGACGCCGCCATGAGCGATCCATCTAAGTGTCATCAGGAAGGCAAAATCAATCAACAGCAGCTATACATAGCGTCAGCTTTTGCACAACGTGTGTCGGCACTCACGGTGGCATTGCCTCAAGGGTCTGCCGGGAGTGTCAACCTCCCGAGCTGCGTGTACTGTAGCCAGCGCTGGATCCGCCAAGGTTGACGATCGGCTGGCCTGTTTTCAACCAATCAGATCCGATATCAAATTGACCAGCCAATCACCGACAGGGACGTGCTGGCAGATCGCAACGGCGAGGTCATTCAGGATAACCTGTGGGTTGTGAACGCGCTGGCGGTCAGCGCTACGGCGCTCCAGAAGCGGGCGCCTGAGAACATGGCGCCGCCGTCTCTCTACAAAGTGTGCGCAGCTCCAGGCGGTTGCACCGGGGGATCGGTCTGCACTTCCGTTGTCGATGGCGTGTACTCGGTGTGCCAAATGAGAGCCTCGTCGACCAGCCGCAAAGTCTCGGACGCCGAGGCGCGCTGGGTCCTTCTTCCCGACATGAAGATCGGACGTGCCCCACTCGGTGGTCCCGAACCCTCGGTGCTTGTCGACCAATGCAAGAAGAAGTGCGAGTACAACCCAAAATGCAGCAGCATCTCGTTCCAGGCGACGGCATGGCCCAACGGCGCGTGCACCTTCTACGACAGCACGCCCTCGCTCATGCCAGCCAGTGCAACGTATTCTGCCATTTCGTACCCGGCCAAGTACACGTGTACGCTCGGCAAGTATACAGGGCGTGACGTGAACAAGCCTAAAGGAGAGGTCGCCAAGTGCAGCCTTGAAAACTGCACCCGCCGTGCCAGCCAAAATGCAGGCAGCAACGGCTTTGTGTGGGTGGCACAGACAGGCACGTGCGTCCTCAAGTTGATCCCAGAGCCCGCGAGAGTGAGGAAGACGAACCGCGCGACGCTCACGTGCAAACAATCCGCAAAAGCATAGAGCGCGGTATGTATGCCATGCGACAACAGACTCACATTACGAGGTGTTAACGCCGTCGTGTGTCTCCTCCAGGTTGACAGGCACCAAAATGACGACCAAGAGCGTCTTCTCGGCACCTCCTTTTCCACGCTATGAGCATCAGTGCCACGTCCGAAAGCACACAGCACTGAGAAAGAAAACGAAGCGTGTTAATCAATTGAGCCGTTGTACGCAAAACGCTTACAACGACGACAAAATGATAACAATAGGATAGCTAAAGTGTAGTACAATTCTAGTGGTTGTTGGCAGAAGTCTAGGCGAGCGATGCCGCGACAAGGACCTCTCGCGCAACCTTGGCAACGGTGGCCACCGCGGCGGCCTCATCTGTGCTGAGCGTTGCATGGCCAACAAAGTCAAGGACGAGCTCTTGGACGACAGACGGCAGGCGACCGAGTGGCGTCGCGTTGACAAGATCGAGAAGCCAGGCACGTTGCTGCGGTGGGATGTCGGCCGTCGACAAGATGGCGTTGTCGATAACTGCGCCCTGACTCGCAAAGCAACCGATAGCTTTGGCGATCATTTCGCTCGGACGCACCAAGCCCCAGGAGAGGAGCTTTGCGACGCCTTCACGTGAAGAGTCACTGGACTGAAGGTGAAAGCGGTACGCGGCCGAGCTCCGAATCAGCAGGAGACGTAAGGGTCGCACGGTCACAAACCCCGTGTCTTGACTTACGCGCCCAGGGACCTTGTCGCTGAGAAGCACCTACATACATCCGTTGCTCATGACACAAAATCTTACATCGTTGTAGTACCTCGATCGCAGGATTGCGCTTGTGCGGGCCGAAGTCAGCGTACTCGTACGTCTCTCGGAACTCGACCCGCAGCGAGACGTTGTCCGCACCGTACAGAATGACGGCGGTGAAATCAATTGCTTCGTTGACAGCGCCCGACGCACGCCGCCACGCCATCGTCATCGTCGGTGCCTCGGGCGTCACGCGGAGACACTGCACGTGGCAGAGCACCTGGTGCGACTGGGGCTTGCTCGGAAGTCGCCAGCTACGGTCGTCGTCGCCGTCGTCATGACACGATACAGAGTCCGTCCAGAACTGTTTGGCGGCGTCGAGTGTCGGTGGTGCTGGCTGCAACTGGCTCGTGATGGGTCCCTGTGCCTTCTTGAAGGCCCGCAGCGTCTTTTGCAAAACAGGCGCCGACGGGTCGAGACCATGGTGCTGGAGGTACGCATCCCGGAGCAGTCGTAGCTCGTTCTCGTGGCCGCCACCGTATTGAATGCGCCGGCCGCCTTTGCGTGGGACCCACCGGGCAGCATCCAGCAAGGGTAGCACCGTCGAGAGTGTCTCGGCTAGCACCGTATAGAGCGCCGACTGCGACGGATGAATGTTGTTCACGTAGCTCTCCAACGTCACTTGGCGCGAGGAGGGGTCCCACGTCACCGGTGTCGGCAGCATCTGCAGGTGTGAGCACACGGCGTCTGCAAGCGCCTTTGATTGAGGCACCTCATATCGGACGATGGCACTTGGAGAGGTTCCGACACGCATGTTGTGCGGGTCGAGACTGAAGCGAGATTGGCCATACACTGCGCCGTACATGGCTGGATCGACGACCTCCAAGACGTTGTCAGCCCAGGACGCTTCAGCTTCGAGCGGCGCCAGATGATGGCCGAGCGACGAGAGCAAGTCGACCGAGAGCGCGTCGTCGGCATGGTACACACCGCGGGTCGTGTTGGGCACGAGGCCAAGGGGACGCACAGC